TTCTAAGCTAAAAGATATTCACAAAGACTTAACACAAGTCAAATCCAAACCTCCCAATAATATAATTTTCCAAACACGGAAGAAGATTCTATATGGGATCTCTACCAAGGACACCATTTTTGCTCTTTGAGCAAAGAAGTTAGATCTCATCCTTATTCTTGTGGTGAATGTTCGCCGGATCTCTTGCCATGGTTGATTTGACACCGAGATGCTTTTTAGCTAACAAGACTTTATTCGTTCTCGTATGAAAAGAGGCCTTTGCTCAGCAGTGGGCACTTATAGGCTAATTATGATGAAGACGACCTACTAGATAAACTGGAAACTGGGAGAACAATATTTTAATTAGACTTTGAGTATTTGAGGATAGTTAATCCCGACAAGGGGTGTCAGACTCATACGAGGAAGGAATACGCTCGCTTCTTGAAGGTTCGAGAACGTAGGAGTTCGAAAACACTGCCGCCAAAAGATTATTCTATGTGTTGGCTGTGCGATTGAGAAAGTGTTTGAATAACTGTGCGATTCAAAAATCATAAATAGACCTATACACCTTTTATAGCTCCATCCCTCATTCTCGCCCGGAAGATTCACGCTTTAAAACTTCATGGTAAGCCTACAGTTCTTGACTGCCAACCAATATGATGGCGATGAAAGTGTTTCACGTGGGTGGGTGGCCAAAAATGCGGCAGGAAACCAACCGAAAATATCGAGCGCTCCCCTGTGGTATTGATAGACGTGCGATAGAAAAGGCATACCACCTACATCACGCAGGTCTAATATATCAGGGCAATCAAAACGATTCAAACGGCTGGTCGCAGAATGCGGTCCAGAGAGAGAGGGTAAACACAGTATTCCATATAAACCCGAACCTTTGCAAACAGGCAATTCTCTGGAGTGAAATACTGCCACGATCCTATTGAGCACATCTAGATTCTTCGAGCTTTAGCTTAGCTTAGCTTAGCTTAGCTTAGCCTTATGCTCTAGATGACCACGGAACTGGACTTCGTTTGATATGTTGAATTCAAGTATTCCAATATCGACCGAGGCAGTAAGGGGGTTACTTACTTTGAAACAGGAACTTTGAGGATTTAAACTCGGACCAAAATTAAGTCCAAAACTGAAAATATCTCTACAGAAGCCTCAACTTCAGATTCTGAAGTCTACTTCGCATCGCTGGCATTTTTTATGAGAAATATTAGCACGGACGATATACGCGGCAACACCCGTGCGTCATCCGCCAAACAATTTTTGTACCACAGATTTGTAACAAGTCATTAACATGGAGGAAGAAAACACTGGGCGATAGCACGCAGCCTTGAGGGCGCAGCCTGACCAGCGTACACAGACAAGGATTCAGAGACAGAGCAATCATTGTCGGTAACGACGTTTTAGTATGCATCGATCTGCAGGGAAGCAAGAGTCAAATTTGCACTGAAAGACTTTGAGAAGCTCATAAGATGGAGGCTTCGAAAGAACCGCTTTATGCCAAACCCGATTGAAGGCCTTCGCTACGTCCAAACCGATTGCTACTGCCCCCTAAGACTACGTTTCCTTAAACTAAAAGATCACCAGCGCGAAAAGTATGGCTATCGGTAATAGACTGATTTGTTTGATCACCTTTTCTAGGGATAGAGCGAGTAGTCTAAAGCCGTCTTTTATGACGACGGAACGATGCCCGAAGAGTAAATAATAGAGCTGCAAAGACAAGATAGAGTGTTAAACCGAATGCCAACTCTGAAACGCACATCTCCAACAAATGCGATGGGATTCCGTCAGGCCCAACGGCTTTATGATGTCAAGGGAAAAGAGCGCCATTCGTACAGAGTGCTGGTGAAACCGAATATAGTACCCACATCACGGCACAAACGGCTGGCGGCCCACGCCATTCTATACCAAATCGAACTCAAAAGATTTTAAAGATTTTACCTAAAAACTAAGCTATATCCTTAACGTTGTGCGCCAACGAATCGTCTACATGTTGCTAAAGTATAAGTGATGGCCTGCAAAAATTCTTGTTGTCTTCGAAGGCGGGTATGATTATAATAGATACCGTCAACTTCATTTATACATTGTACGATGTACTTCGTCGACCCAAAGACCAAAATCACTAATTATATGTGTAATTACGCCTCCGTGGCGTAGAACACTTGTTTATAAATTCAATAAACATGTGTTCTAAGTGTGTAATAAGAATTCAATCGAAATGATCAATTTAGTTCGGTGCTCTGACTGGCCGACTCCAAGTTATACAACTAATCAGAGTTGGCTAAACGTGTAACGTATTTATCGCAGAGACGTAAAGAACGCTAGGCTCTCAAGTCGACCAAAGTATAACGAGTTCTTTCAATTTTGAGATTTTTCAATAATCACACAGTTTTAAATTAAACCCTAAGTAAGTGTACATAAGTACACACATTACCCAATATCAAAAGGTAACCTAATCATTGCATATCTGATGGAAATTGTCAATGGGAGTCAAAATCGTCACATCGCGCAACATTTTCAGTTTTATAAGTAGTTTCAAAGTTTTTAGTGGATAAAAGAAGTTCAGCAAGCATTTTGCATAACAATAAAACTTCAATCTTGATTAAACCAAGATATTAAGCAATAAAAAAATGAAATAATACACAAATGTAAAAAAAAACATTTATTTTTACACATTAACAAAAATTATTAAAAAAATCAAATGTACAACGTTTTCCTGAAGATATGAACTAATTAATATATTCAATAATTTACCCAACAAGTTTCTTACAACTGATAGAATAAATTAATTATCAAGAGTCAAAATGTGTTAGTTACAATACAGAATCAAGACATATATATTTATTATTAGCGTATCCTATCGATAGCTTCGTTACCAGACATTAATTAACCGTATGAACGCCACGACGGACTACTATAGATGATAAACAAAGAAACGAAATAGGCATTACGCTTTATTTTGAAGAAGTTACTGAAAAATATTTTACTCTACTTATCCATTTTTTAGAATAACAACAATAACAATTTATTATGAACAGGTTTTCAATGTGATATAGATAAAATTTTAGATTATTTTTGGTGTACTTTTATGTAGAACTTGTGGTTTGGCATAGGTCACAATGCATTTACCATATGGCGGTGGCGTTCAAACGGTTACTGTTGCAATATGAACAGACAATAATCTCTAATTCCTACTACACTGATGGATTAAAAAGCGTAAAGTCAAGAATAGATCCGAAAAGCGAATTTATTTCGATATACTTAATATTACAGTCAGTTAAAAAGTGTTCCAAAATAGTATTTCGTTATTTAAAAATTGGGTACTAGACGTGGTCAAAAATAAATTAATTGTTCAACTTTTTTACGCAGTCATAGTTAAATATAAAAAACGTTTATTATTGATAGGTTCTAGCTAATTATAAAGTACTGTATATGGTATTCGACATAAAAAAAATCATGACGTCACAAAAAAAACAGGCGATTTCGAGAACTCGTCAAGTACCCAATTCGGTCAGGTCATATCTAAAAACTAATACAATGAGAGTTCGATATGTTTACCTTTATATTTAATAGTTAAAAACTTTTTGGTTTATTTAGTACTTAATTTGTGTACTGCGCTCCAACCAGCTTTAAAAGGTCAACGAATGCTTTTTTTTTGTAATAAGATCTTCTTTGTGTCCAATATTAGACTAATTTTAGATGACCACAGTTGAAGCGCAATTTTCTATTTTTTTTTTTTTATTTATTTATTTAAAATGCATAACAATAGCAAGGAACAGTAGGAAATCAGTAATGAGGACTGAACCGCGAGTATCACGAACTACAAGCTTTTACGTAATATAAATTACAAATAATACGATATAGTACCTCCTTTCATAATAATGATTAGTATACATTGACACACAATCAATTTCAATAACCTAAGTGGTTTGACCATTTTTCTTATACGTATAGCATTTTACCTAATCAACAGAAGTTACAAGCCAAATTTCAACAAATTTAGTTTTAAATTATTAGTTACTTTACTATGAAAAATTACAATCGTTACTCTTTTTTCCTTTAGGACTTAAACAAGAGGCATCTCGCCCGATTCAGGATCAAATATATTTTAAAGAGAAAATGTTAAATTTTATAAAAAAGATATTTTTATTATTTATATAAAGTCAGTAAAAATAATAATTTGCATTCGTAAAATATGTACAACAAAGATAGTAGGTAGATTGTTATTCTAAACACATTCTATCACATAGATATGACAATTACTACCACACATATTTACTAAATACCTATTATATCATATATTTCACGTCATACATATGTATATATACATATATATGACAACTTCTACCAGTCAAAGACCTTTAGAGATCGTACCACGAAATATTGTCCAAAAATTATTGTTTCACCAATTACTTGTTTCCACTTTAATATTTAATTTAACTACTAATCGACTACAGTAAATCTTGAGCCTCGTCAATATACAATTAGATAATACAATATATAAATGGATACAGACGACCAGTTAGACTAATCGATAACAATTCTGTGACACAGCGCTTGCCTTACTACAAATTTTAATAAACGATTTAAACTCTGAAATGGACTATAATACTAACATCAACACTACCATCAATAAAGAACCAGTTACACTGTCTAAATAGAATCAATCAAAGTACTGTTGAATATTACGTTGATAGTTTTAAAAACTACATTACACTCATCTACATATTTATTTAATGGCATAATATAATATTAAATTGACACCAATTGTTATTCAATAAATCTACATACATAATTACTTGAAAAGACATCGAGAATTCAAAAAATCCTGATCTAGTAATACTATTTAGAAACCGATTATGATAATATTTATTGTATTTATGACTATCTGTCCGTCTCTGCTTCGTACAGATGTTAGTTAGTCATCCTCAATAAGATTTGAATGACGCATCCAATTTGGAGGACAATCTACGACCAGCCCTATCAACGAATCGATGCTATTTTCAGACATTCCATTCTTGGTAAAAATTCAAAACTTTCTCTTCTTAAGCACCTTCTGATAAGAACAATCACAACAAAATGGCGGCAACTAAGTACTAGTACTTCACCCAGTTATCACATTACATCAATAATATTATGCACATCACCGCCCCAGCACCAAAGTTGTTTTATCAGTCAGTGTCAGTACAAACCCTTATAATTTAACATGTATAGAAAAAACATTTAGATATAAAATTCGTTAGGCAAGCTCCTTTAATAGTGGGTATACCAATACCAGCTGTAATACGATGGTCCCGCTGTGTCACAGAATGGATACCTCTATAAAGACAGTTGAGCGTATTGTTGAGGTTGAGGTCTCAGTTCAAAGACTGCCGCCACGGCGAGATGATCAGAGCCGTACACTTGGTTGGGCAGACGGCCCAGTACCTCGCACTCGACATCGGTAGGCAATCGCAGGCGCTTGATCAGACGCAATGAACTGTAACGGCTAAAAACAATTGTTAAAATTAGTTTCAATATATAAATGAATAAAGGTATGTATAAGACGAGATCGAAAATAAATCTGTGTTATTTTTCTTGATATGTTTCATTTTCCCCAAAATTTATTTCACCATTGCGTTGATGAGCATTGGAAGTCAGTTCCGTTTAAGGTTTGAAAATTAAGCATTTTTTATTTTATATATTGTTATTTTATTTGTCAGTTATTCAGTCCATAAACGAATATAAAAGAACTAAAAGGTCGAGAAAGATCCTCTCCTTCTTACCTAAAGTAAATATAGTCGACGTTGACCCAGTACTCTTGGAACGTGGTGACTCCAAGTCTCCCATCCACAATGTATGGCTCATAAACGGAGCTGAGATTGAGGGAATGCCCAATACACCCGCTGTTGAACATCCCGTTGTACTGTTCTGTCAAGAGCACAGGCCTGTCACACGCATTCGCGTAGTAGGAGTAAGTCGAATTATATATCTGGAATAGAAAAAACATGCATAAGATAACATCGAATTGTATCCGATTCAATATACTTAGAAAAAAAAAAATATTTCAAGTTCTCAAGGGAATAAAATAAAAATCACAGTTTTCTACGATTATTTTTCTACTAGATGACGTCGCAATAAACAATCCCGTAAAAAATCCACAGAAAACTAAGGATCTTGTCAACTTCAAAAAGTTTTGTATTTCAAAGGTAAAAAAATATATTATAGACTTTTAAGTGTCTCTGAAAATTTGCTCGTAAGAAGTTAACTGATATGATTGGAACACTGAAGGTATCTTATAAAAAAGCTACTAGTACATTGAATAAAAAATTGCCTAACTCTAGGACTTTTTTCTGTACCGTGGATGCATTTACAAATATACAAACATCTGACTTAAAACACAAAGCGTTGTTCCGTGCGGGAATTGAAACCACAACACGTTGCACAGCAGCCAGTTGCATAGCTATTACGCTAACTGTTCAGTCGGTTGCTAATACACTTTTTATATTTGAAGATACAAAGGCCACGGTCTTATTATAAGCATACAAGATCTAGAGAGATATCCTGCTCACCTGGGTGTGGCTGAAGTTGGTGTATCGACCGATCTGCCTGTCCAGGTAAACTGATAGATGCTGACAATTGTCCGTTACGCCAATCCGCCGCCAGTCCGAACTGTCTCGATATTGGCCGACGCTGGGGACACAAATAATACATAAAAATCATGACCAACAACCTACCTATGTAACACGGAACAAAATAAAGTTTTTCTTTTGTAAATGTTGTATTTATCATCATCATCATCATCATCAGCCTATAAGTGCCCACTGCTGAGCAAAGGCCTCTTCTCATACGGAGAAGGTTAGAGCATTAATCGCCACGCTTGCTCAATGCGGGTTGGCGATGCCAAACTTATAATTAGAAATTATAAGTCCAGGTTTCCTCACGGTGTTTACCTTCACCGTTGTATTTATATGTTATACTAATTACATATATTTGGAGTTGAACCTTTAAGAGCGCAGGTTTCTAGTAGCAAATGTATGTTTTACAATTTTTTCCAACAACGATAAGCTTCCCCATACAACATTGAATTGTAAAATAGATCCCATCCGGCAACGACATTGTGATCCAAGCTATCAGTAGTTATGGCTACAGAGACAGGAACTATGTCTGAAGGACGGTTTTCTGTATGCCCTTTACATACTTCACCTAGCTCCTTGTTATGAGGTGACGAGTCATGATGGTGATCCATTTAACGACATGACTATCAGCACAGAAGTAGCCCAGTCTACACTCTACATATCGTCTGCCTCGTGAACCAAGTCAAGATATTTTATTTAACTAAGGTGTTGTTATTACAGACGATAATATGAGGGCTCTAATAAAATATGCTATATATACATTTATTAACGTACCTCACGCGGCCCCTGTCTAAAAGCTTTATTACTGCACTATCAGGCGTTGAGTTAAAATCACCAGTCAGTATAATAGGAAGATGGCCAGACCTGCAAACAAAGCAAATATACTTAACATAGTATTGCAAATGCCGTATATACAAATGTGCGGTTCTTTTCTTGACATAGTTTTTGTTCTTTTTCCCCAATATTTATTTGACAATTAACATTAAGCATTTTACATTTGGTACATTAAACAGCTAACGTGACATTTTTATTCAGTCAATAAACGAATATTATTTTTGCAACACAAGGTTCTGATAGCTGATATTGCTATGTGAAGGAATTTAAACCCTCTCTTACGCTTGAGGGGCCAGAGGGGCTTAAGACGTGCAAAACTCTCTTAAACAGGCTCTAACTGGGTCGGCCGCACTTTTAAGCCATGCCCAGGGGCGAAAGGTTGAAAAGATTTAAGCACTTACTGTCGTCCATTGTTAAAGTATGCGAAACGGTCAATTTCGGCCAAAAAGAGCTGCATCTGCGCGATTCGTACATCTGTTCGTTTTGGGTTATAAAGCAGGTGTGTAGTAGCCACAACGATGGGCGAGCAGGGCCGGTCATGTGGCATCAACTTCACAATCAAACCGATATTATCACGGTTCAAGATCGGAAGATCGGGCTGGAAGAACTCGACCTGCGAAAGACGAAAAACTGTAATGAGTTTCATTGGTCGAAAGATAAAGCTACGGAACATATCCACTGCTAAATAAATGACTAAATTAAAAGGCAATTATAGTAATTATAGAATATTTTAGAATGTTTCAGATTGCCAATAATGTCTCCCCTTTTACTTGGGACGTGATCTGGACATAATATGCACACTTCAGCTTACACCTTGGCGTAAAAAAGCTCGTGATTTTGTTTTGTAGATTGTCAGTATTATTATATTATTAGGTACACGTTTTTCTGTTACAAATTTATCGTATGTTAACTCTTTGACATAGAAAAAATCACATCATCAGCCTAAACACCTCATACACATCACTGTTTAGCATAGCCTTTGCTCACACAGAGAAGGTACGAGAGCATTAACCACCACGCTTGCTCAATGCGGATAGGCGCTTTCAAACTTTTAATAAGAAATTACAAGTTTATCTAAATCATCTTAAAAAGAATATATAACTCGGAAAAACGTTCGATTGATTTACATTAGGTCAAAGGTAACGCCATTGGTCGGTCCCCATGCGTTTTTTTTTTATATACCTGCCTGTGTTCATAGCGCTAAAGTTTGACTACTTAATCGGTCTATTCTTTGTATGAGGCTTGAATAAGGAACACATTCTGAATTTATTTATTTTCAGAAGAGTGCTGATATTCCTTTGTCTTTTTGTATTATTGTGGTACGATTATCGAGAATTTGTCGAGAACGGCGAACTTTGGAAATTTGTGGACAGTCTGTAAATTCAAAAAGAAATCGCGTCGTCTCAAACGTTGTTTTCAGCGGCCGGGGTTCGCTTGAGGTTTGATGAATGAAGCGTGATGGTATTTAACAATATAAAAACATGAATATTCCCTAACCCTGTTATGCGTGTTGTATTGTCAAGCCATTTCATCAGGGGACGGTATCTTCTTCTAATACTTCCTCCAAGCACTTCAAGGTCTCCATTCGAGCACTTTCTTGGTGGACCTTGTTTCGCCTACTTTGGTTCTGTGCAAAGTTCATCCTCAATACTTTTTTTCTGGCGTAATAGCATATGTATCTAACAAATTCCCATTTCAGATTCACTAGTTTTCTTTTTAGTGCGACACTTTGATCCCAAGAGCATTTATTTCTTTCCATGGCCGCTGTCCAGCCTTCGAGCTTCTGTTTCCTAACATACATTTTAGTTTTTATTGCTGTGTATACCTTAGAGATGCATTCGATATTATGTTCAATCACGTTACGTAGGTCATATGGATCAATTACTTTGCAAATATACTATAAAATTCCTCTAACAAGCGTAATTTGTCGTATGATCGTTAAAAGTAATAATAACAATATTGTTATCGTAACTAGAGTTTTTCTTGTTTCTAACAAGAAATTCGTATGTAATTATTAAGACCATAGCTGGCAGAGAACACAACCTATTTTTTATGGGACAGCGGGCCAGCAATGAAACACCTATGGCAATTCAAGCAAAGCCTCATTTACGAAGATATTTTTTTTTACTTTGCCCCACTCTAATATTTTCTCTTGTGTCGCGGATGCGTTTACAAACATACAATTTCACATACACATCACACTCAGACCCGGAACAAAATTTGTGGATCACAACAAGTTGTTCCGTGCGGGAAATCGAAGATGCGACACGTTCCGCCACAGAAAGTTGGCCAGCCACCGCGCCAACCGTGATGTCAAAAAATTGATCATTCGTCGTCCATTACTGAGGCAGGCCGTGTCATTGCTCGCGCAAACACAACCACATGAGCATTAAGAGCAATGTAAAACGTATCACTTAAAGCGCCGTATTACCGTGAATGAGGTTCAAACGCACATCTATACATATTGCTGGCCTTTTCAGAAAGACAAACTAAAAAACCAAACTTATTTATTCTGTTCTATAATATGCATTATTGATGGTGTTAGTGATTGAATATGTTGGCAACTGCGCATATATTAGTAGGAGATTTATATAATAGCGTCTTTTTATACGAAGATAAAGATTTCATTCATATTTAAATTCTATTGCGTGTGCTGATTAGATATTATTATGAAGATTATTTTTCCTTGATAGATAATGTTAATGTGTCACAGTAAAACTGGGTTGAGATGGTGCAAAGCCACTAGTACCGGTATGTAAATAAGGCTGATTATGCTATGGGTCTGTTTCCCTCTGGATAGCAGATTTATTTTCCAGCCTAAACACATAACAAAACCAAACGCATTTTTGTCATTTAGTAAATAATTATCCACGTCTCCGATTTATCCGTTTATTTTTATATTTTCTTCTTTTAAAACAAAGCTTCTGTTTTCTCAGTATAAGAAGGAACAGAGAAAAATATTTAAAGGTCACAAAAAAAATTACTTAAACGTTAAAACTGGCAGACAATACTGTCGTCATAGGAAATAATATATTTCATAGGAAACCTTAAAATATTTCTAATTATTAGTTTGAAATCGCAAATCACCTTAAAATATTTCTTATTATTTGTTTGAAATCATAAATCAATCTTGAGCAAGCGTGGTGATTAGTTGTTAAACAGGAGTTTTGTTATATGCAATAGTATATAAAAAATAAATATTTTACTTTTGAGTACGTATACCAACTTCAAAGCCTTTGTTAGTTCAATAATACAAGCGATATTTTCGTCCTGGAAAATTTTACAGGAAAACTGATAAGGAAAATGTGCGCCTGACGACAGAAATAGCTGTCTTTTGAGTTTGATTTACACTTGAACTGTGACCCGATTTTTGGTACAATGTGAGCCTTTGTTATGAAAATGTAACTCCAGACAACAGAACAAGTAGGTGCCACGGTTTTTACTTCATAAACGACCATATTTTTTAAAGAACGAAACAGGTTATATTTCGTTACACCTTAGGTACGCCCTAACTAAACTAAACTAAGACAAGTGCACAATGTATCCCAGCTAAGAATACCATTAGCAATGAAAATACGATACATATTTTAAAACATTAGCAAACACAGTCACGGTTTGTGCATGTATACAGTCGCGGTTTTTTATAGCTAGCGTGCACAGCAGGCAAAATTCATATCAAAATATTATTAACGTGAATCGCAGAGCAGATACAATATGTCGATATACAAGAGCTTATATTTATTTGCAGTGCATTTAGCATGGTTGCCGTGGCTAATAAACCCAGATTTTTATGAAAGTAGAGAAAAATAATACCTACAAAATCTATTTGCAAAGTATAAGCTGTATTTTTTAACTTTTTACTTACATGGATATTATCTGTAAGTTGGAACATAGAGGTCTTGAAGTAGATGGCACACCCGTCCTGCCGATGCCCCGTCTTTTGTTTGAAAACACCGAAGTAGCCAATCTTCTCAAACTTGGAGTAAAAGCTGTTGATGTGAGAGGCTTGAACTTCTTGTAAACAGATTATCTAGAACAAACCGAAATACATAAGATTATATTAATATATAGTTCTAATATAGTTGTTTGAAACTCGACTTTATATTAAGGAACAAAAGACACAGTAAAGGTGGAAATATATTACCGTGTCATGGCGTATCGGTTACATATACGGCACCACAGATAATATATTTTAAGACTTCCACATTTTATTCTACTAATGGTTAAAGTAAGTCATAAAATATGAAGATCTAGTTATTAGTTAATCATTGCCCCAACAGAAAATCTAACAAAAAATACTAGTAAAATAATCTTACATCAGGAGCCATCTTCGTGATCTCATCGTAGAGGCGTGCAGCTCGGACCTTCCATTTGAGATCGAAAGGCGCGCAGTCGGTGTAAAGGTAGGGGTGGCACTCCAGGAGGTACTGAGCAAGCACATTGTACGACATTACTTTGAAACTAAACGTCGCCCCTGTAGATAAATATACTTATTTGTAATTACACATCAATGTATATCATAAACAAAAGCACGTGAGATTCAACTGTTGGACCAGAAAAACAGGGACTGTTACACTCTCAACGGATTGTTGACGGGATGGATAGGTCTGATCGCAGTTTTACAGGATCATTAAAGGACGCTGCCTGGCCTGGTATATAGTTCCTCAGTCAATAGTTAGATCCCTCAGTCGATTCTTACGACATCAAAGGTAAAAAAAGTAAAGTAAAGCTTTTGAAAGGTAAAAGTAGAATAATAACCGTCAGTATATTCGTCAGTGAAACTAGGTGGTCATCCGCTGGAGAAGTGGAAATGTCCAATATATTCTACTCTAACAGCAAATTTGATACTAAGTTATTACTGGATAGAAATATTTGACAAAAATTACTAAGATTCGGCTGATTCTGGTTGACTCAGTACCGACAGGTAGGACTTTTTTCCATTTCAAAAGTGCCTGATGTATAATTTAAAAGCTTTAAAAAATTCATTCTTTTTGACGAGCCCACATAAAAAATAAAAATAAAACAATACCATATCTAGGATCTTGGCTATCAGCTAAACTCTCCCACACCCTGAAGTCCTGAGGTATGTTGTGGGTCCGGCCGTCGCCTGAGAATCCCGCCTCTGCCGTGTATTGCCACCAATCGTCATCACTATCGCCCGAACTGAAACACATATTTTGATCTGTATTAGTCACATATTTTAAAGTTGCTGTAAACGCCGCTTCACTAAACAAAAACATGGTCTCCAGCTTCCCAACTATTTGCAGACAAAAAATCCCAACGTTGCGACTCGAAAAAAAAACACACTTTAAATTAATAATATAATAAAAAATATCTTGAACCACATATATAAATAATACGACAGGCCTTACACGTCAAATTCTCCTCCGTAGCTGGCATGTTGACGGGATGGTTTGTTTGGGTGAGTCATTGGCTTACTTCTCTTACTCTCATTAGAAGTAAAAGGTGGAATCTTCAGCCGTTTCTTCCCGTGGCCGTGTTGTCGCAACTGTTGGGTCGAATGGAACTGTGCAGTTACTTTTATGCTCACACACTCGGTACCACATGGCTTCCATTTACAATTCAAATGTGAATAACTCCTTACATGAGCCTTGTGAACCTTCTCACATGTAACTAAATATCTGCAAAAACTATTTGTCAATTTCAGCATAGCTTTCTACGTATGTGTATTACACTTATACAAATCATATTTAAATTTTCAAACTAGCCTAGCTACATTAAGTTTTATAAGAGCATTCTGTACATGCATTACTAATATCCTCGGTATATGCTATTGTTATGCTTAATTTATTGTAGACATGGAATTTGCTCTGTTGTTAGTTTTGCATCCTGAAACAAAATCATTTTTATGTTGAAATATTTCATTATTTTATTTTTCCCCCAAAACTCCAATAACACATGACAATGTTGGCATGTAGCTGTGTGACATGCTTGATATAATGCAATGAAATAGTCTATGTGTGCGTAAACCCAAAAGCAATGTCTCATTCTATTTATTTTTATCTATTAAGCTCACTCACTTAATGATAAATATTATGCTATAAAACTTCATTTAATATTGTTATTATATTTCCAACGTCACTATTCTAAGTACTACCTATTAGACTTGTTATCATAGTAGTATATCTATGTATGTAGTATGTGTGTGTACAAAATGGTTTTACTCAATTATTATAATTTATTAGCTCTAGTTTTATGGTAGACAGAATAAATGTCAAGGTTTCATTTAACCTCGAGCTTGATAAAGTAATTATTCAAAATGGTAACAGTATGGAGCTTAACAGTTTTCTCAGTACCTATAAGACAACTAGTGTACTTATTACTAAATAGGATAGGTAGTAGTCACAGTACAATTAGTTTTCAAATCTTACATCCCGCTGAACTTGTAGGTATAAAATAATCAAATTAATTAGGGCTTCCTATAAGTTTTGTAATATTTTATGATTAAAGACTTCTTTATTATAAGTCATCTAATTTTAAAGCAAAGCCAATTTCATAGATTTCATATGTATGGAAAACATTGTGGTACCTAGGTATTATGTTCTCATGTTTGCAATCGAAATAATTAATTTCGATATAGAATTTGAATATTAAAACATCATTTTCCCAATAAGAATCAACCTGTATCTAATCTGGAATGATAAAGGATTCTTTCAAACAAGAAAAGGGCTAACCTGGGTGGCAAAATTGCAGGACAACTGGACAACCTCGCTTGATGTTAATGGAACTGCTATTTCGAAAGCATTTACAAAGAACATAGATTCTTATCCGAAACTAAGTCGAAAACATATTATTATTACGAATATATGCGTAATTAAAAAATAAACTGAATAGTATAAGTACGCGCGAATGCAATGTATTTATGTATTGGCGCGCCTATCGATTTTTTAGACCACGCATGCCACGCAATGGCGTCCGAATTTCCGTATCAAAATTACATAAATCATTACTTAATAAAAAATAAGTCTCAATTGAAAATTGGACCATTACATCTTTAGATTATTTTCAAGCACATTATTAGATACATGTAAAAAAATAAACTACTTTGTATCCTCTAAACCTACATGATCTAGTCTTTATTGTTTTTATAATATTTATTCATTTAGTGTGGATGTGGTGATTCTGAGCCGATTACAAGGTCAGCTCACAAAAAAATCATATTATTCATTTCCAATAAAAAATCATAACTCATTCCTCTCCTATAAAACACATTAAATATTTATTGTTTTTGTTTAATACCCAATATTTTAGAGTCCCAAAAATATGTTGCTATTGACACTGAAGTTTTTGTTTATATCAGTGCAATATAACCAAGCACTAAATAGTAGAATTTACATGTCCTAAAGGATTTATGTAATATATTAATGTTTCTCTTACACATAATGTAAGGAATTCTTCTTCCTATATAGCTTTCAAACTAAACCTAGAACAAGCAGATACCGATAATACTTTGTTCCATCAAACAACATAGAAATCATCAAACCAAGGGCTGACCGAGGTACTTACAGTAACTACAACGACACTGAGCTTGCTCATAACAAAGCCGATGCCACAAAAGCTTCTAAGAGATACCAGATATAATCTCATGAATTTATATGAGTATAGAAATTTCAGATTGAAGACCCAACTGATGTAAAATGATACCCTTTGTACAATATTATGTTACATTACCACAACAAACTTGTGGTAAGATAAAGGCAAATCAGGTAAAAAATACTATTGGTTATTTTGTATTCTTATATGGTTAAGGCGCATATTGACTTTCAAATGTTTTCATGTGATTTGTCAATATAAGTCTTGTATCTTTGATAATAAAGCAGGTCTATCACAATAATTAAGTGGAACATACTTATAATTATTGTAACTATTCATGACTGTTTCCCAAGAATATTACACGAATGTCTAAGAGGTCCCAGAACAGATAAGGATTTAAGTAATGGCCTAACAGTAACAGTAAACAACAACAATAACATAAAATCCATCCATGTATCACAAAAGATAACTAAAAAAACTTCTATCTGGCAAAATATATATTAATTCATACAGATATTTTTGTGGGTAAGATAAGACATTGATCAAATCAATTAACAGAACCTCTTCACTAAAATGTAATTTGTAGCCATCCATTCAGATACAAATAAAAATGGCCAGCCCAAATAAAAAAACTAGCAAATATTTATTATTAAACTAACGACGCATTTATCGATTATATAACTTTATTTTCCCAAATACAACACAAAAACAAATCATTGGAAATGCGACAAACAGCAACAATGGCAACATATTGAGACTTAGCCAGAACATTTTGATTGTGAACAAAATTAACTTACATGCATACAAACAAAACCATAGCAGATAGCATTCAATGGCAAAGAGCAAAAACCATGACGGACATCTAAAATCTACAGCAAAAATACATTTTTACTGACCCGTCGACCTTTCGTATCGTGTCTGTCTCTCATCTGTCAATGGCTGACAAGATGAAGAAAATCAATAAAATTTTAGAGTTGTACCGCGGATACAACATGTGAGTTTCACGTGAAAAGATAATGGTAAAAATACATTATAGTGATGTGCCGCGTGGAATCGCGCTAGCACGCTAGCGTTTTCAATGTATTATGGTTGAAAATTAATATAAAGACACGGTCGATTGCACCGTCACCGACAAATTGGTGATAGAGATTACGTTGCGATACAACACACCATAAGTTTCTTTTTAAGCGACTTCATTTAGTGAAAAAAAAAAATAATTAATGAAAGATAAACATTTCAAAAAAAACATATGAAGGTGCAAAGATTTGGCATCAACTGTTCAGATATAAAGCGAGAGTCTGCTTCAATACACCGCAACACAGTAACGTATTTCTGTGTTAACTCTGCGTGCAGCCATTGTGAAAACTATTATTTTTATTTTACTAACTCAATTAAAGTAAAAATCACAAATTTATTAATATATTGGGCTTGTCCCATTCACTATTAGTCCATAGTCCAAATAAAGGCCGTTTAAATTCAAGTCATGGGGGGGGGGGGAGCCAGGATATGATCTTGGTGGGAATAGCTGAATGTGAGACCAGCATTACCTATAAAAATGCCAAGAAACCATAATTATGCAGTGTTAGTGAACACCGAATTTGAGTAGAGCCCCGGCCAGTCCGAGTCACCAACGTCCCGCCGTCCATATTGCGAACTGCTGCACCGCGCTATCGCTTGGCCACCACCCAGAGGTCCAGCTGAGCTGAAGGTGTAGGGTGAAAGGCGAGTCTTCTGCGCCTCAAAACCGAACCAGTCTCATCAGGGATGAAACCCGAGATAAACTCGTGCACGCCCACCGCTCCAAGATGGCAGTGGCTATTCGCTCGCTTACCTGAACCCTGAAGATTAAAGAAACTGAAACACTGCAAAACCGGACCGATCAAACTACGACGACTTTTGGCATATAAATACGGACACGAATTGCTTGTTGCGAGAGCGAAGATAGCCGACTAGCCAAAGCAGAAATAGAAATGTTGCTATACAAACTGCAGATACTCAGTCTCAGCGAAGTGCACAGAAACATTTCATTAATCCGGGAAGGAAAATGAAGAGGACGTACGTGCAAACGGCGTGGCATTCCTCCTTTCAGACTCTGCAAAGAAGAGCCTGCTGGACTGGAAACCATTTCAGAGGTACTGGTTTAACAGCAAATCTCGCAAGATAACCTTCGTTCAGTGCTATGCGCCTGAGATCTTCCGAGTCCCAAACGACCCCGTAACTACACCTATACCTGCTGCCAGCTTGCCCACATCAAACCTAGACACCGTCGTGTCTCCCCAGACTGGTAAGGAGATAGTAAAGGCTATCAAATGCGCTGATATCCCTTTTGCGGAACATCTGGTCAACTGAAGAGTTACCTGATGTCTGGAACAAAGGCCTTCTCATCACCGTACCCAAGAAGGGAGATCTGAATGAATGTGGCCACTGGATAGGCATCACAACGATCTCGACTCCGTCCAAGTTGCTCTACTGGATCATCTTGGACAGGCTGTCGAGGGCCATCGAGCCTCTTCTGCATAAAGAGCAGTCTGGCTTCCGTTCCGTCCCAACCGATGTCTGATCAACACCTTGCGCATAATCCTCCAACTGGCATCAGAATGGCAGAGGGAAATGTACTTGACCTTTGTAGATTTCGATAATAAAAGCCTTTAACACGCTGCGATGTAACTGGGTCCGGCTTCGTGAAATTGTAGTCCCTGAGAAGATCACGAACATATTTAATTAAGGCCATCTACGGAAAATATTCTTGTAGGGTAACTCAAGAGGGCCTCGTCTCGGAGGACATACCGGTCCATGCGGGTGTGCGCCAGGGGTGTCTCCTCTTGCCTCCTCTTCGGTATCATGGACCATACTGCCAAAAACAAGCACCGCGGCATAGAGAAGGGACTATCCAATGACTTGGGAGATTTGGATTATGCCGACGATATATGCCTCTGATTGAGTTACACATAGGCCGACATGCAAACCAAACTGAACGACCTACGGCGAGAGGCCATGGAGACGGGACTGTAAAATTAACATCCGGAACTGAGGAACAAAATCCAGGAACTAAGATGCGGAGTGACGTGCTCACTACCGTTGCTCATCGGCACGAAGGATGTGGAGAGAACCCACAAGTTCACTTACCTCGATAATGTTGTGTCGGAAACAGGAAGGACCGAAGTGGATATCACTTCAAGGATCGCCAAAGGGAGAGCAACCTTCGCACAGCTCCGTCCTGTGTGGCAATCACGGAAACAGGTCAGGAGAGTTAAGCTCAAGATATTCCGGTCCAATGTCAAAACCGTTTTGTTGTTGTACCGATGTGAAACGTGGAAGGCAACTAAAGATATCTAAGTTCCAGGTTTTCGTCAATCGATGCCTTCGTCGTATTCTCGCTATATGCTGGCCTGAGAAAATCTCCAACGCAGAAATGTAAAAAAGCTGCGGTGAAACACCGATCGACCAGCAGATCAAACATCGCAAGTGGAATCGGATCAGCCATACGCTCCGAATGCAAGCCTTAGATTGGAATCCTCAAGGAAAGCGTAAACGTGGTCGGCCTAAACAATCCTGGCGGCGGCAGATCATCGCCTATAGGCAGGACGTCGAGTGAAATAAAGCGCGATTCTCAAGACCGGACGCGATGGCGGAGCATTTTTGATGCCCTCTGCTCCATCTTGGGGATATAGGACTCTAAGTCAAGTTAGTCAAATTCGCGTCAATAATAAAAAGCTAAATTTTTATCCCTGTAAGACCACTTGTTTTCGAATCTCATGTTACTGAAATACGTATAATTTAATTTTGTAATTATTAAATAAAAGTAATTGGGTGTTAGTTTTCAAAATCACTTTATTTTCATCAAATTTATTTAGCAAATAATTTAGGCGTGATTTCTGGGTCTGGGTCTGGATAGTATTGAAGTAAATCAGCTACAGGAGCCTCTTGGTCTTCATAAAAATCACAAGCTAAGAGATATTCTCGCTTGGAATAGTCATCTCCTTTGCAGAACATTTCACCTGAGCATGCAATATATGTCAGAAAATTTAAATCAGTTTAAGATCTTAACAAACATAGGTTTAACAATTACCTTCTACATCCATAATATGCACGGTGCTCCTTGATTCTAGTGCCCCGACACAGTAATGTTCTTCTGTTAAATCTGGATGCCAGTACATTATAGCGTCTCTACATGAAGTACCAGCGATAGGTAGTAATATTCTGTCCTGTTGGAAAATCAAGCAATATTTCATTCACTTACAAGTATATTATTATGACATTCACTTGTAACATTACATTAAATTAGATTAGATACTCTACCTTACAAATAATTTTATTGTTGACTATTGGCTCCTTTACTTCGCCTGTGCAAAAGAACTTTCGTTTTTTCCTCATGATTACAGTACTAACTTCCAAAACTGTTTTTATACTGTTTCCTACAAAAGAATTAGAATATTTTTTGATTAGACTACTCTTGTCAGTTTTACCTCGATATTCTAGTGGCCCGAAGATTTCGAACCCTTTTATCATGCATGAAGAAAGTGTGGGAGCAGGTCCCGGCGAATGCTAATATGATTTTTTAGAGTTATCCGTCCGTCTCCAATCATTTCACTAAGTTCAATGAAAGTTCAGTTTATTGACGTGTAAAAGTGCCGTTTTATGGCCTATTTGCAAAAATAAATTCATTGTTTCATTGTTTCATTGTTTCAATAAATAACACAACCGCATCAATGTGAGCACGTCCTATGGTATAGACTGTGTGGGGTCGAGTTCTTACAATGTATTTGAAATAATTTACCTTTATCGCCATTAATTGCTTCAAGCTCTCGCATACCACGCGCCTGTGTTTCTCTGCTATTTTGTTGTTTCATATAATTGGCAAGCCTACCCATTGCTTCAACAAATTCATCAATCGGCCCTAAATATTGAAAAGAAAATTTTTAAACGTTCTTTTATAAACCAGTTTATTGTTTTTACGTGCAACATTCATTAAGGTGAATTAATTTAAAAGTACCTGTTCCAAAACTGGATCCATCCAAGTAATTAAGAAATTGATAAAATCTTAAAGCTTCGTCAGATTCGATTTCATCCATCACAGGTCTCTGAAAACGTTAAATATTTGCTTATTTCACTTTTCTCAATAAAAATGAGAAGTGTGTTCATAAGACTTGCAAGCAAGCTTTAACTTACAAATTTTCCACTCCATGCTCCAACATCGGAATAAAGAGAATTAACTCTGCTTGGCATCCAATCTAGAGAGGATCGGGCCACCAGGACAGGATGCTGAAAAGAAACCATTTTGGTTAAAACAGTAACAATATCCAGCATATTTTTCAGGTAAAATAAGTTACCAATGACGCCAGTGCAGCGTATGCATTTTTAAAAAATAATAATGATATTATCAAAAACAGCTGAAGAGCTGTCATTATTCAACGCTGCCCTCTGCAATATTGAAATGGTACACTGAAATTTGAACGAGAAACTAGAAAGAATATTACGATTGGTATTTCCCTTAAGCTTTTAAAATAGTTAGTAACATAAATAACAACTAACGATGTACTCGTTAGTTGTTATTTATGTTACTTCGATAACGTAAAATAATAACTACCCACTAATTGCCAATTTACATGCACCAAAATGTTTAGGTAGGCCGTAGTCAAATACTTAATTTTTTAATCATTAATCACTTAGAATTATTTGCAAAACGTTTTACAATGCAAGTTAAACTTAAAGCGTCTTTATAGTTTTGGTATTAGCCTTCTAATGGAATGGCCCTATTTTTATTGTGGTTCACATGCACATCTTGTGAATATAGTTTGTTAATTCGTCAATAGCATCCGAAGTCACACTGAACACATTCCCTGTTAGGGTATTTATGTTCTGTGACTCATTCTATTTGCCCTCGAAACGTAAAAAGCGGGAAAACACTTAATGTTGTCATAACACACAATACTTAGTCGGGTCATAAGTTCTGTCAAAACCTTATATTTTTAATTTTCGATTACTGGCCAGAAATTCTTCGACTTATTTTAAAAATAGAACTTTCGCGCTTGTAGAAAATAAAAAAGAAATTATTTTTTATTCATTTTTAAATATGGAGTGGTCGAATAAAGAAGACAGAATCGCGGTTATCGCGTTGCACCGCTGTGGTTACGCGCCAAAAGACATTTTCAATATTCTTCAAAATTTGAAAATAACGTTACGGTTTGTTTATCGTACTATCAAACGATACACCGAAGAGTCAAGCTTCGAAGATCGTAAGAGAAGCGGCCGACCTCGCACAGTTCGGACACATAAGGTCATCAAAGCAGTGAAGGCGCGAATCGAACGAAATCCCGTACGTAAACAAAAAATCCTAGCTCTGCAGATGGGGCTAAGCAGAACCACTGTTAAAAGAGTACTAAATGAAGACCTGGGACTACGAGCTTATCGTAAAAAGACAGGACATTTTTTGAACGAGCGTTTAAAAAAAATTAGGCTAGACAGATCCCGCGCTTTGCTACGACGGTACGCGGGAAAAAAATACCGCGAAATTCTTTTTTCGGATGAAAAAATTTTTACTATTGAAGAAAGTTTTAACAAACAAAATGATAAGGTGTATGCCCACAGCAGTGAAGAAGCAAGCGCGCGTATTGCGAGGGTCCAGCGTGGGCATTACCCTTCCTCATTCATGGTTTGGCTTGGAGTCTCATATTCAGGCGTAACTGAGGTGTTTTTCTGTGAAAAAGGTGTGAGAACTAGTGCCGAAGTTTATCAAAATACTGTCCTAACAAACATAGTGGAACCTCTTTCTCAGACAATGTTCAGGAACAGGCATTGGATATTCCAACAGGACTCTGCACCGGCTCATAAGGCACGAAGTACGCAAGACTGGTTGATCGCTCGTGGAATTGACTTCATCCGGCATGAAGACTGGCCCTCTTCTAGTCCAGATTTAAACCCACTGGACTACAAGATATGGCAATATTTGGAGGAAAAAGTCTGTGCTAAACCTCACCCGAATTTGGAGTCTCTCCGAGCATCTCTGGTTAAAGCAGCGGCAGACATAGATATGAATGTGGTGCGTGCAGCGATCGATGACTGGCCGCGTAGATTAAGGGCATGTGTTCAAAATGGGGGAGGGCATTTCGAATATTGTAAATAAAATTATATTGTACATTTAATGACCTTTCATTTCATATATAATTTTTAAATAATTGTCAAAAGGCGTATAAGTTATTACATCAAAAGTTTGTGACAGAACTTATGACCCGACTAAGTATACTCTGATTGGTTAGCTTGCATCGGGTTCGGGATAGTCATTCCATTCCTAACCCAAATATGTTGTAAATGTTCAAAATTCCTAATATGTAGTACAAGTACCTAATATGTCCTTTCAACGCTAGGCGCCCTCTATTCTATTGCTAAGTGTAAAAAAATCGTATAACGTAAACATCTGTTAGAGGTTATAATCGTTGTCGTTGTTGTTTTGTCGCTGCCAACTATGTTAATCAAACAACAATCTTATTTAAGTTAACTCTTGCCATTAAAATTGAAGTTCCTATAGCATAATACTTTTGTGAAAACTTTAAAGAATATTATTTTTTAGAGAGGGTAAGTCGGATAATAATATTCATCACTCAAACTTTAAATTGTTAGCGTTTCCTTCACTTCTTTAATAGTACGTAATTGAGTTCGATCTTCAGCCTTTCTCATCCAACTACTGGTATTCGCTTTGCGGACATTTTTCACCTTATTTTGACAAAACTGTCTATATTTTAGCATATTAAATTTTAATCGGCTGTAGATCGTAACATGGTGGTGTAGGGTAAGACGAACCGTGGAGCTGTTTACTCCGTCTACGAAGCAGTACCAGGAACGTAGAGACGTTCCTGTTGTTCGCTCTGCGATCTTTCTCGTCACCCGTTTAGAAGCAGACTTGATTACAGGTACAAACCCAATAAAATTATGCACCGCGACCACACTTGAAGCAGGAAAAGGACCAGGCTTGGAGAGGAATGAGACTTTAAGGCACTTAGCGACTGACAATTTCTCTCCACCCGGGACTGGAGAAGTCGGCAGGAGAGATTGTGGGTAAATATCCGATGAAAATGAATGGATAAGTATTTATCCTCCGAACATCACTGGGTGTGGTGGATGCATATCTTCAACAGTATACTGCAGCATGTTAATCTTACGTACCTATGCGATCAAGTAAAATATATTGTCGTATCGTGGCATGTCAATACGACTATCTTGTGTTGACAGCAATGTGACTCCATCCACAATAAATGTAATAGGCTTCTGACAGAAGACGGTATGTTATGAATATTTATATAAATAAACTTTAATCTCTGAAAGAATCATAAAACGTTAATTAAATTACAATAAATACAAATTGTTTAAAATCGCCTATTTTGCCACTAGTCCAACCTCTATTTCTAGCTGTACTGACATTGACAGCGCAATTTTCGCGCCATTCTGTCTGTCTTGTTCTGTCACCTAAATTTTATTGTTACAGCACGAACAGTTGGCATTGTAAAATTATAAATTAAAATTTGGTTTCGTCTTGGAGATAATGTTATAAGTGATTTAAACAAAATGCACGTGAGAATACGTATATTCGGTAAACCAGATACCGTTGTAGTTGTAGAATCTAAGTTAACAAAGATAGATCAGTTCCGGCGAATTATAAAAGAAAAGTTTGATGTTCCACCAAAATTACAAAGATTATTCTACGGCGGTAAACTGGTAAGTAAAGTAATTTATACTTAAAATCTGTATTAGAGTATCTACCGCATGGATATTTTTAGTTGTATCTCATAGATCTCGTATTTATAACTTGAACTACATAATGTGACGTCACAGTCGCAGCACATTGCGACCGTTAAAAATGGCGCCATTATTCTGGCAATAACACCATGATATCGTTCTGAAGATATACATTGATAGCGCATTAGTTCAAAATTAGAGTCATTACAATTAAACTAAAATTTTTTAATTGAATGATCATCTGATTTTATGGCAATAATAATCTTTAGTGGGTTCTGGATTACCTGTCTTATGAGATTATGTGTGCATGCACTCAATAATCAGATATCTTATTGTGCACACTCCTTCAAAATTCTTAAATTGGCCATGATTTAAGTCTTCCGGTACCATTTAACTGGTACTGGTGTTCATTTTGTAATCTGTCGATCAACTTATTCTGTTACATTAGTGTTTGTCGGATGATTCAAAGTGTTGAATGGTTCATTGTTCTTAAATCATCTCCCTTGTAGCAATTCCGAGATTATTATCTGTCTATTAGCAGACCAACTTAAAAAAAAATATACCTATTATTTAATTCATGCCTTGTAATCTAATGAGAATTGAAGACGGCTTTATCTTCAGCTCCTGTGTAAGACTTCAGACTAGATTCTGATAGGCATTAATTTCCTATAGAGAATACACTTAACATTTTATTCTCTTATCAAACAACAGAATATTCTTAATATTATCTATACTAATATTATAAAGAGGTAAAATTTTTAAGTTTGTATGTAGGAGGTAATCTTTGACCGCTGGTCAGATTGCTAAAATTCTTTCACTGATAGGTACAATGTTCCTGAGTGCTATAGGCTATAAAAAATCACACTACGATTCAATGGAAGCGAGCAGCGGGTGAAACCGCGCAAGAGTAGCTAGTAATATATAATAATCTGTAATATTCGATAGTTTCAACAGAATATTCTTAATATTATTTTTGTTTTACTGCCAAAATTCAGGACTAATCTTAATTTTAAATCTCTAAATTGGTTTTTGCAGAATTTTCTTTAAATCTATTTAATGTTAGATTGAGATTGCTTATTGATATCAGCCGCTACCTTTCAATATCTATCAGTGAGTAACAGAAGGTTATGTTATTTTGATTCTAGCTGGAAAATGGTTACACATTCCACGACTATAATATCAAGCTCAATGATGTTATTCAACTCATGGTTCGGGCGCAGCCTGAGGACAGCCCCAAGAAGAAGACTGACACTAAGACTGAAGATATTAAAGACAAAACCGAAGTTTCTGATGGGGATGCGGTTGAGTACAAAGGTCAGTAATTCTAAATCAATCAATTTACATTATGTGTGTAACTGTATAGTTTAATAATCTGTATAACCTGACATACAACTAAATTAATTCTTATGAACTGTCAATAAATATACTATCTTTGAATGCTTAACATACAAGCCCAAATATTTTTATTAATATAATATTTTGCACTGATTTTAAATACTATCTAAAGGCATTTTTATATTAAAAACAGATGCAGTAAGTACATTATACGAAGTTGGTGATCTAGTTGATGTACGAGACCGTGAGCAAGGATCCTGGTTAGAAGGGAAAATAACTAGAATAGTGAATGATCCTGACAACCCATATACACCAGATTCTAAAGACTCATCGAGTATTGACATAAGTGTCCTAGGACATTCTGAGAACAGTGACCACAGTTTTGACACTGAAAACGATGTTGAAAATAAACCTCCAAGTGAATCAACCAATGGGGACAGTTTGCCAAAATCTAAAAGTAAAGGCATAGCTAAGTATTTCAGTAGAACCCCAAAAATTGCATGGAAAAAAAGTGATAGTGAATTGAATAAAAGTGTTGAAAGCAAGGATATTGATTCAATGCTGCTTTATAAAGTGCAACTGGAATCAGAGTGAGTATTTTTATACCTATATGACATTTTTTGTACATTTTCTCAGCTTGCATTGCTAAATAAAAATTAGGTTTTCATGTAAATGTCATGTACAATTAAAACAGTGTATTTTTTTGCAGTGATGAAGATTCTAACTTGTATTGTAAGCTAAAAGAAATAAGACCTAGAGCTAGAAATGAGATAGATCCTAAAGACCTGAAGGTGGATCAGACAGTGATGTTGAACCACAACACAGATGAACCACTTGAGAAAGGACATTGGTAAGTGAAGGCAATTTGTTAAAATTAATTATAAAAGGTACTTTTGTGGTATGAACATTTGGATAAATTTAACCATGCCAAAGCAATGGAATAATTATAATTTTGTTTTTGTGTTCCATCACCTTTATATCTAGTATATAAGATTAATTAAAAAAAAATATATGTGGCACATAGTTATATTAAAATATTTATAATTTTTCTGAAGGATCAATGGAAGTATATTGTACAGACAACTGTACAGGTATAAAATATTTTATATATACATAATGTGCGCCGAGGTGCACATCAGCATTATTTAGTTAAGCATTCGTTTACATTTTTACACATTATTATTTAGTTAATTAAGTATCATTAAAGCATTCATAGCAAAAGGTTGTGTTGTTTATCATTTATTACACGCCAATATTACGACAGCAGTCGTTATCATATTATCATAGTGTAAGTGTAGAATTATCCTACATTTTTTGGTCCTTCGAGCCGGATTTGAACCAGCGACCTATGGATGGCACTTTATCATTTTGTATCAATAAGTATCAATACATTCTCGTAACAGAAGTTTGTGTTATTTTATCATTTCTACACGATCTTCCTGTCTATATCAACGAGAAGCAGTCAACCTATCAACTATCATCCAAGTGTAGGCGCTTACAACCCCTACATATATGTTAGATACCAACATAAAGTACTCATCTCAAAAGAAGTATTGTAATACCCAAAAAAATGATAATATATCAATATCAATTATAACATAAAAATAATTACACTAATCTGATAAACATAACCATAGTATGTGAGCAAAGCACACAGTTAATCATAAATCAATATCTAGTCTATTCGAACTTTTTACAGGTATGATTTCAAAATAGCAGAAATAAAGAAGTTTAGAGCAATTTATGAGTTGATAGGAACTCTTTATTTGGGCCCTGATGCTGTCCCACAGAATGATACTAAAGTGAGAGTGATTGACAAGATATTTGCAATTGAAGAGGTAGTGCCACTAGCTCAGAGGACACAGAAGTACAAGAAAATGATGATCACCCCTCCGGAGAAACGTAAGTTTGTAACAATATCCAGTTTATTATATAATATATATTATATAATAGTCTTGAAGAATGATAATAGAACTGTGTCTATCTGATTATTCTCTATAGAATATTATGAAACAAGTACTGAGGCACTTTAATTATTAATAGAATTAACAAAACACAAAAAAATAAATTGAAAAGAAGATTGACAGATATGACGAATCAAAACAAATAAAAGGCTTTGAATGTGATTTTATCTATTTTACAAATAAATAATCTGTAATATCATCTAAAATATTACATGGTGTTTATTTTGTGGGTTTATTTTCAGGATCTGTGCCATTAAATTGTCTTACGTGTCGCGACGATGAAAACACTCTGTGCAAAGACTGTGGCTGTTATCTGTGCTCAGGAAAGGAGTTTCCCGAAAGAGTAAGTTATTTTCTGTTTTTGTAGTTAAAGATGATCAGTGACGTGACAACAAGCTCATCATTAACATGTAGGATGGGTTATTTTCTAGTCGCTTGTTCCTGGTTAGGTATTTAACGTCTTTGTTTTATTAGTTTTAAATTAATAATAATATAGCCTTTTATTCAGATCCTTAACTTACATTATATTACACAGTAGAAATTTAAAGTTAAAGATTAGTCTATTATTTGTTGTTTGGTGATCTTTTGCAGATCTGTTTGCCAATCGGCAAATACCTCCTCCAACCTTTTCCACTCTGTCCTTACTTGAGTTTTAAATAAAGTATAGTTAAATTATATACAATATTAGTGTTGTAAGAGCAAGCAAATAGAAGCAAGCATACTGCTAGTTTTACTGTCTCATTTATTCAAATTTTAGAATAATTTTCTGTTCTTTATTTTTCTTCCTACAGTATTAATGATAAGTCAAAACTATGTTGCAGATAGTTTTATGCGACGAATGTAACCATGGCTACCACATGATATGCTTGGACCCGCCGCTCATGGAGCTGCCCGAAGAAGACTGGTACTGCCCGTCCTGCAAGAGAGATACTAATGACGTCATAGCACCTGGAGCTGCTAAGCAAACAAAGAAGACGATCAAAACTAATCGCGACTGGGGCCGAGGAATGGCTTGCGTTGGTCAGTAACATATACCACACTTTATAATATTATGCCTCGCATCTCTGAACAGATGAATAATTGTAGCACTTTTCAATTTTCACCTGTTACGTTAAGAATTATGTAACAGGTATTTTTTGTATTGACCTTATTATACTATAATGATATTTCCTGACCCTATGTTTAAACTTGAGACCCTTGTTCAGCAATGTTGTTCGCTTGCCAATTTGAATAACTTGGTAATATGTTTATTTTTATGCAAGTCAAAAAAATATTGTTTTACCAGTAGAAGGACTGCATTTGGGTTGCGTAGCGTTACTTGAACGTTTCAGGTAACGCGGTAAGCGAGCTAGTATCTTGTTTTACTATTATACATATTTTGGGCTAGCGTGCTTAGCGTATAAATGACGACGTAAATGTATTTCACACTATTGTTATAAGGCCTAAATAATATTTGTTACTATGGCTCAGGGATACAGTTTTTATAGAACAATATCAGTTGTACATTATGCATTATTTAGTCAACTTATTTCTTTTACGTTACCATTGCGGCATTGCGCTAAATAACTGCTTTAAATAGAAAGCATAATATATAATGCAACAGCAATCATACCTATGCACTTGTTTTCTGCGTTACTAGCGAATTTGTATTTTTTTTTTTGTTATTTATGCATACTGTGTCATGCAATCTGTCAAAGTTGACATACTGAACCACTTTACAAAATATGATAGTAATACCTTTATGATACCCATATAAAAATATTGAGCTGAATCAAGCTTTAAATATTTAGCGTAGTATCAGATTGCTGGCGTGCTAATACGAGTATTTTTTAAATGGAATATTTAAATGGTAAAAACAGACTCTGTTTCTAAAATTGCTGGCTGCCTGTCTATCAGACCAAATCTCATGAACGGTGATCGCTTAACGGTTACATTGTTTACAAATATTCCTGCTCCTGTTATAGAACGACCCTGCTCATTTGCCGACAAAAGCGACTTTATTTTATACTATTAGTGATGTTTGTATTTATGCTATATTTTAACCATGCAACTTTTTAAAGGCGATTTCGAAAGAAACGGCCAAGTTCTATTACTTGGCCGTTTCTTTTAACTGATATTGAAGTATCAATATCTGTATCATAATCTGGAATACAAAAAATACTTATACTTTTACAGGTAAGACGAAGACCTGTGCGATGCCGCCCAATCATTTCGGACCGATTCCCGGCATTGAAGTTGGCATGTGCTGGAGGTTCAGAATACAGGTAACCATATTTTTCTTGATATTTACTGCTTGTTTACCCCATTTGCCGCAGTGGTTGCTAATACGAGTAATCTTACCGTGAAGGCGTGGATACAACTCACATTATTTTTCTAAATTACTTATTTTGTTCGAGAGGGAATGTCGACAATTTTGTATCAAATACATACATGATATCATATTATTTTGCATCAAGCAGCATACTTATTTCTCTTAAATAAATTATCTAAGAAACACAAATAAGAAGGGTAACCTAAAATTATTTTTAAAGTGTATTTTCAAGTATTTCGTTCCGGTTTCGAGTTATTTGTTTGTCACTAAACACCTTATTGCCAATGCTACTCAGTGCCGTTCGTAGGAAAGGAGTGGTTTTGAGATGCACTTTAAATTGCAGCAACATAATTTAAAGCGTCTTGTTGTCACTCCATTCATGATTCATGACAATCATTTAATTGTAAGTGGTGTGGTTACCATTAGCCAACTATATGTATATCAAACTTCATATTATACCCTCTTTTATGTATAACAAAACCAATCATATTACATTGAATAAAAGTCGCGGGTTAGTCACATTTTGTTTTTGAGAAAAGCTCTACTAGTTTCGAACCACAGAGGGGTTCTTCCTCATGAGCAGCGTCGCGGTTCGGCGACGTCGCGCAGCCTAATCATACTACATCTTGTCAGGTTAAAATCGATTAAACACTAATGTTTCGCTGACGTTGTTAGATGACTTTTGACTTCATACTGGTGAAGGAAGGTTTGTATATATACAAAAGTTAAATGAGTATTTGTTTGTTCCAGCTGTCGGAAACCGGTGTCCATCGGCCGCCCGTTTCTGGGATACATGGTCGCGATGTAGAAGGCGCTTACAGCATTGTATTATCAGGTATGAAGTATAGATGACTTTAAACAAACAGTTTAGGTTGGACCGCTACTTATGAATAATAGTTTATGTGCTAAAATACATAAAGCTATGGCGACTGAAGTCGGCTGACGGAGGGAATTGTGTTTGCACAGGCTCTTGTGCACTGTAATCCAATCTTGCGCAGTCGGCTAGTATTTTTAGATAGACTGACCACCGTGATCGTATCGACAAGCTTGTTATGCCATTTCATTCACCGTATTGTACTCAAATTATTAGTTCTTTTTTAAATAGATTTATTCTAAAACTTTAAAATTTGCTTCAATCATTGTCTTTTTACTTCAGGTGGTTACGAAGATGATGTGGATCATGGAAACGAGTTCACGTACACAGGCAGTGGCGGCCGAGATCTTTCCGGAAATAAACGCACTGCGGAACAGTCCTGTGACCAAACACTCACCAGAGAAAACAAGTAAGCTCTATTGTAAACAAGTAAACTTTGAGTTCATTCCTAACAGAATTCAATGGGAAAATTGAAATAATAGTTGTTTAAAGTAGTGCTCTTTCTGTTATTGGTTAATATGTTGGTATTTTACAGTTGGGGGTGTGAAAATGAATAACTGCAAAAAGACTGACTAATAGAGATACTTTTATTACTATTGTTTGATATGCACTCTTATGACTAATATAAATCAGTGGTTTAAATTTTATTTACTCAAAGTCTAAGTCAAATCCATTAATTTCAATTTGACCACAACAGGCACTTATGAAAGTCAAGCAAAAAAAAAAAAAATCATATCAACAGCTTTAATTTTATGCGAATTGGTCTGTCCGCTAGTGAAGCTAGTTGCTCATTCCATAGTGTACATTCCTTTGGAGAAAAACGAGCAAGAAACTTCATGGGTACTCTTTTTCAATCAGTTTTACAATTAAGTTCTTTGTTACATCATTTAGTGGGTTCTTTTATGTGAGAACAAAGAATCCGAAAAAGAACTGAACCTCAACATCTTTAGGCAGTCTCGACTCTCGAGTTGACCAGTCCCAGTAGGCGGCGACAGTTCACGTACATGACACGTACACCAACAACTCCCAACTGAACCATATACTTTTCTAAGATTGTATTTACTTTAAGAAGAAGTAGCAAGTATAACAAAATTGTTCTTTTATCAGAGCGCTAGCCCGTAACTGCGCAGTGAACAGTATAAGCGAGGAAGGCGGTGACGCAGGTGACAATTGGCGTAACGGGAAGCCGGTCCGCGTAGTGCGCTCCTACAAGATGTTGAAACATTTCCCCAAGTATGCACCAAAAGAAGGAATCAGGTTAGTCTTTATACCAATGAATATTGCGTACATACTTTTGTGTTTATCTCATGGCCATGATAATACTCAATACTCAATATATTTATTGCATTCCACAACGTGAAATTAGGTAGTTTAGGAGCATTGTGGGCCCTGTCTAGGGCTAGTATAAATATATGTTTACAATATTTCATTATTTTTATGTAGATAGGCTTATATAACTTATAACTAATTGAGTACAAATACATTATAATTGTTATTAGGTATAGATTACAGTGTTGCTTTTAGTTTATTTATTAAATTTATCATTTAAATATTCCTGTACATTATAATAGCATTTATGTATTAAAAGTTTTTTGCATAAGATGCAGTTTGAGTATACCTTTGAGTATATTTTGTCGCTCTATATTTTGTATTTATCATTCAATTTACTTATTTATCATCTTGTGTGTTATAAATCTCACTGAACGTGTTCGCCTCTAGATACGACGGCATATATAAGGTTGTGAAGTACTATCCAGAGAAGGGACTATCAGGATTCATTGTTTGGAAGTACCTATTGAGACGAGACGATCCTAACCCTGCGCCTTGGGAACCAGGAGCAAAGGAATACCCGATTATTGTGAGTATTTTATCATGGACAATCGCAATAGTTAATTCTATCAGAGTTAGGCTAGAACCAAAGCGTCGGAACACGGATGTTGTTTTGGATTCACCATTTAGCCATTTACCTCACATCCTAGTATGGCTTTTCAAAATGAGAGATGAATGGATTTTTTTTTAAAGTATAAGAAGTATTATTCATTCGTATAGATTTAAAAGTATCCACTGCTGACTTATAGAAATAGAAAACTAGACTCCTATCTAAGTTTGAAATATCTCTACGAATTAGACAGGCTGTATTCCAACAGTCTGTTAGATATCAACAAAACGTAGTGAACAGATGTTCTGGGACCTCTTTCACATTTTTTATTGAAAAGAGATTGTATCAACATTTTCTTAATTTTAATTTTTTTTCCAACAGTATCCCGATGGGTATTTAGAGGCGGAAGCAGAAAAGAAAGCTTTAAAAGAAAAGAACAGTAAAATCGGTAAAGGTGCCAAGAAAGGTAATAAAAAGCGAGCCCTCAGAGAAAGCAATCAAACAACTGAGTCGGAAAGTGATGCCTCTCCACCTGTCAAGAGACGGAAAACTACTAAACCAGGTAAGCAATGTTTTGCACGTAGATAATGGGATCGAGTTTAGTAAAGATATTACTATAAAAATATATTGCCTATAAAAAGCCATAAAAATATAGGGACAGAGAATGGTACAACATTCTGTAGATCTCATCAATGTTTTTCATGAATTCATATTCTTTATAACTTCTATCTTTACAGTAATAAAAACCAAAGCTACAAATAGTCCTAAGACGAATATAGCTAGTATATTCCTGAAGAGTCCGAAACGTAAGTCACCACAGAAGAAAGATACAGAGAGTAAATTGAGTGAGGAAGAAATGGCAGCAATTAAGGCGGATACGCTGAACGAGAAGCTCTGGAGCGAATGTCTCATTGTATGCGAGGCTCGGGGAAAGAAGGTGAGTTTCATTTGTGTTTATTTTGATATTTTTCTCTGTTTACTCAAGTTAAGCTTTGTTCACAAACACAAATAAGATCTTAGACAACTGGACTAAGGCAATACTATTACTTTTAACAAATTGAAAGATACTATAACAAGGATTTGGTACACACACATATACATAGACACTATTCATAACAAGACTATTAACGGGCCACGCGCAGCGTGTTCTTGAATATAAGAGTCCCGTTGTGACTTGAAACTAGTAGAGCTTTTCTCAGTTCATTCAGGTTAGTAAAAATGTATGTCTCGCGACAGGCTGATGATGATGTCGATCGTGAGACGATAGTTACTTTACAAAAATATGTAAATTTTCGTGTCAACATCTTCCCTTATCTTATACTAAAAGCAATAAATGCCAAATCTATTTGTTTCTAGGAATTCGTGGACTATGTGACGCAAATGTTCCTGTGCATCATTTGTCAAGAGGTAGCTGTAAGTCCGGTGACAACACCTTGTTTACACAACTTCTGTTTGGTAAGTTCAATATTTACATTATTTACCATCATACATTAACACTTTTATTCCATATAGAGATTATTATTCTTCAGAGGCCAAGACTTTGTAACTTTGAGTTCGAATTACCAATATGTGATCTACTCTAAGCTATAAACCTTAAAACTTTCTTAGATTATTTTAAACACATGGCGAAGGAATACATCGTGGGGAAACCTGGAGTTATGATTTCTATTATACGTTCGAAATTTTTACTCAGTGTTAGAAGAGGCTTTTTCTGACCAGTGTGCCTCCTGGGTCTAGTTTAGAGATGTAATGTATAAAATTCTGTTCTCAGGCGTGCATAAAGCAAGCTTTCAAAGCTAGCGGCGCTCAATGCCCCTGCTGCCGACATAGCCTCGTGAAGTACGAAATTGAACCAAATGAAGAGTTGAAAACAGCTCTCCGAAGTATACTGACGGGATACGATGCGGGCAAGAAATAGAATATAATGTGGTAACAAGTGTTTATATCAGAACTATTCGCTTGGAAGGCAATAGAAGAAATAAAATCACATTACAGGCAAAAGTTTTATGATTTTCGCTTTAGTAAAGTGAGTTCAAGTGCCTTATAGATAATGTTGAGTTGCTCCTATTGCCTATATTATTATCCAAAAATTGTTGATCTGATAATTGGTATGCGGGTAGTGCTGTAGGGAATTTCATAAATTGTGATTGTGTATGTACTTTACTAATAAATAGGGCATTTTCAGCACATAATAAGCTCACTTTGCTGCTTTGCGTAATATTTATGTTTGCACGACATATACTCAAAACTTTGATAGATTCAACATACAATATCGTCATTTTTTAATGAAACTTCAAATCTTTCAAGTTTCTTGATTAATTTTTTGTATTACATTTTGGGATATACATTGCTACAATGAAACAATGAAACAATGAATATAACCTACCCAATTGATCTTGTACAATTGTAATTTTTCATGTTGGTTGGTTTCTTTGATTTTCTGCAAATATCGTACTACGTGACCATGTCATTGATTACCTCATTGGAAGTTCATTTCACATATCATATGAATAGATTACTTGATACAAGTTCTACCTCTATAGTATTCTATGTGAATTACTCAAAATTGTAAATCCTGTGATTTGTAATTTTTAATATGTACCTTGTTTCTAGTTTTACGACACGTCTTATCAAGGATATAGTATAATGTTAAGTACATTTTTGAAATTAAAAGTTTAGTGCATTCATAAATTAGCTAGCAATGAAGGGAAAGTTCTGTTTTCTGTGGCTGATAGCATATTAAGGCAAATTAAAGTTTTGTTCAAGCAGCGAGCGCTAATGTGCTAGTGTTACAATATTTTTGAATCCTTATTATGTTAACTATGCTTAATAGGATGATAATGTAGCAGTTATCTAAAATTAAAACTATGCATTCAACATTTTATAGTTATTGACTTACATATTCATGTTTATAAATTTTATAGGGTATTATGAAAAAACAATATTTTGATTCTTGTTTTATGACGTTTATAAATATTTATATGATATATATCCGATTGTTTTTAGACCGACATTTTGTTCGTGTTTCATAATTCAAATATGTAAGTAAATGATAAACGTATGTATTGTATTATGAATACAGGGTGCTATCTGCATATACAGTTTTTATAAAAAAAAATTACACATGGATTGTGCAGCGCGAATTATTTATTTACTGACTTCCCCGCGGTCGATCGATTATCGAATTCTTTGCGATCGAATTACTTATTCTAAACAAACTTTATTCATTAACAAAATTAAAGTTTAATAGTAAGAACTATGGTACTAAAATGCTCTAGTGGATTACCAATAGATTAACTTCGATAAACTTTCAATGCCAAATGCACGCGTATAGTATTATTTTTATGACATTAAGTTGACTTCAATCGTTATTCTTTAGGAATTGCTATATTGTATTAAGATAATGGTGAAATGACGCTTTTACAATAAAATCTGAAGAAAAGTTAGTTTTAATTCGCTTACTGATCTAGAATGTTATTTAGAAGTTATGCAGTACAAAGTTTTCGTAATAGTTTAATAACATCTAATACTTTAGTATACTAATAATTCGATTAGTATTAGTGTTTAGTGTATCTCGTCGATTTATTTACACTGTACCGGCGAGCTTAACGCTTTAGTTTAGGTAAGGTTAGCCACTAGGAAAAACGGTGAAGTGAATACTTATTAGGTTTTTAAGTGATTACTACCTCATTACGTACTTGCTTGTAGATTTAGGTTAAAATTTTGCTCTGCAACTAGATAGTGAAATCATACATAGAAATCGGGTCCATTTCAATTGTACTCATACAATAATATCTTTAATTACAACGAAGTTCCATCCATTACTTTAATACTACAATTTTTTTACACCAAAATCTAACCTGGCTATTTGTTTTCTTACGGGGAGTTATTAGTTAGTTAGGGTAATGAGGAAAATGGAAAGTCTGTGATGTCGTAAAAGAGGTTGAACCAGGGAATGAAGAAATTTGAAAGTTTGGTTGATGAAAGAAAAGTATGCAATAAAGAAATTCCTATTCCGAATAAAAGGAAGAAATTTTTGACAGTGAATTTATATAGTATAACAGCGACTAACAGTTTTTGGTTAAGTTGCGGGATATTATATGATTTTTACCGTTATGCTCAAATGTGTTGTAACGCTGTTGCAAATCCGCTGTACTTGTCTTTTTTAATAAAGCTGGTTTCTGGTTTGGTCCTGTAGAAAAAGTGGATGTTAGGAGAATTGCGAAAGCGGTTTATCGAGAGACGGTTAGGGAGGTAGGTTGAGGGTGCTCCAGACGATTAAATAGATGACATAGACATCTTATCCGACGAATATGCCTAAAGAGATTGACGAATATAGAAGTGAAAGAGGTATGTCGGGATTCAATTATGCCTGCCTACACCAATAGGAGACGGGCGTGATAATATGTATGTATGTAGTTCTCATATAACGAATGTACAAAAGACACAGCGTAGAAATGTCTCGATGTGTTGTTAGTTTATAGGGTAAGACTTTAAAGCAGGCTAAGTTAATTTAAAGAAGGCTAAATTAGTAGTTTTTTGAGACATGTAATCTCCGTGATTGCCATTTGCCCAGATATTCCACCCTCTGAGGAACTGACTGAGTTGGTGACTACTAATTAGGGCGCCTAAACAATTTTAAATTTTGTAGGAAAATACATGGCCGAGATATTTATGTTATTTTTTTATTTCCTTATCTTATCGTTCGGAAGTTATGTTATTTTGAATTATTTTCGTTTTTAGTCAGCCAATATTTTTATAACCGTGTCTCACTACAGCAATTATGTCGTCAAGTCCTCATTATAATACACTTAAATTAACAAAAATCCAGTATATTTATGTCAACTTATTTGTTTTTACAACCCTAAAACTCAGGGTATTGGCAAGTCGTGATTTTCGTGTTCCAACTATACTTAGTTTTAATTTTTATTTTTGATCTTGTATAGTACAAATATGGTAGTTTTATTAATGTACTTTTTACGATTTAACTGAACTCATTTGTTTGTTAGTTCTGATTTAAGGAATTGTTTAAATAAAAAGAAGCTCGCAATGATCTTTAGGGTCCCCGAAAGGTAATAATAAGTTTTCAATCCTCATTAGGTTGCTTAAAAAACTAGTTAATTTTTATGTGTATCGTTTGTTATTCATTCCACAATATTTGCTTTTTGCTACAGAAGTGCACATTCCACGTAACAAATTAATGATCTATATATAAACCATCATTGTATTGCAAGGTGATGTGCAATATTCGCTCTTTGACCGCTGCATTTGTTCTTACTATGTATCAATATCCTATGAACGCATCAGACCAATAAATGCCCATCAATGGCGGTCAAAGAGTCAAGAACTATGTACTATTATTATGTGCAATTTATTTACAACTTTAATAATAAATGTTACTATTGTATGTATTTTTGAGACTTTCAGCTTAAACTGTGTTTTATTTGTATTTCTTAAAAGTATCCAATGTTTTGACCATCATTTTTTCTTAATGATTATGTTTTATGCTGTAGAACAATTTAAAGAAATATTGGTACAAATTTATCAGCTATGTTAAAAAATGGCTGGCTATAAAACACCTGTTAGCTATTGTAATGCAAGGATATGCTTCAATATTTACATTTTGTGAAACCACATTACTAGTGCTTGAACTCATTAGAATTGTGTATAAAGTTTAATTCCACATTGCCCTGTATTATGAGTATTATGGAATACTGATTATAAAGTTGAGTGGAATGGCTGCATATAAATAGACTGAATGAAATGATTAATAAAACAATAACAATATTATTTTGTGGGAACTTTTTATTTTAATTGGCATGCATTCTTCTTTGAGAAAATATTCTTGGGTAGTGTGATGAAATAGACGTGTTCATTCAATATCAAATTCCTTAACTGTAATATTGGTATCTTTGTACCTTTTTCTTTATTGATTTCAATTATGAATTGATAAGATTGAAGTCATTGTGATACATGTAAGCACTTGTGGTAATGCAATGGTTCAGTAATAGTTATGAAGTAATTGTTTTTAAGATATACACACGGTATTTTGTGTATCTCCAAATAAAAACAACAATATAAACCTGACTGGTCATATCATACATACAGTACCATGTGTCTAGATGTAAATGGCGATTAAAAGCTTAGACCTAGGGTTTGTGGTCAACGTAAAATAAAGGGTCCTTGCAAGACTTGATCCAATCGTAAAAAAAGTTAAGTATTCCCGGCAGGGCCCATGGTTGCAGATTTAATGTTGTTGAAAATTTTTGCGTTACGCTAGATACAAGTCGTCATCTTCTTTGTGTTTAATTTTAATGTATAATATTGTAATAATTAATTTTTTTAGCTTCAACTCTGACGTGTTAATTATTCAGTTAACATGTCGAGTACAATATTGTATCAAACCTTTTTCTAAGATATTTTTGCACACAACCTGGATTGTCAATGCTCGAAATGTTTTCCATATTTTGCTTTCATTATTGTTTGAATTTCGGGATATTATTCCTAAATAATGCATTGTGTTGATCTTTGATTATACTGCGATTGTTAGGTTCTTTAGTAGTGTTAACTATTTTAATTAAAATTATGTTGATTTTTCTTTAATAAAACCATGTTGAAAATTTATTTTGTTGTTTTAATGCATGAAGTTTAGTTTTAACCACTGAAACATTTGATGGCAGGGATATATCACAAAGATATTGAATAAAAGCCAAAAGTATTATGATAATAATTTTATTACATTGGGTTTTACCTAGTTACACATCTGAGCACTTTATCACTGTCGTGTCCAACACACAGCACAACAAACAAATAATCGAAACACTACATAGTACATCCTAATAAATATATTTATATCTATCAACATCACAGTTTGTGTCAATATGCATGACCGGTACACGCTTGGCATTTGTACGTTAAATCTACCTTTCTAGGATACTGCTTGACATCATGAGAAAAATACTTAAAAATAATGTTTTTATTTCAATGTCAATTTGGGTCAAAGAAATGCTAATTATTAAGTCCATGTAAAGTCCGGTCACACACATACAACCAAAAGTTAAACGGTAACAATTTAGCGAGGACAGAATTTATAACTAAACTTTGATTGGTAGTCGATTAAAATCTTTGATATAAAACAAAATTAAATCCTAATCCTGACCAACTACTGAAAATATTAAACCTATAGAAAAATGTCGCTGCGTGCTAACGGCCTCATTAGCCTTCGTTATCAAACCACTAGTCTATCGACAGGGTCGCGGCCGACAGCGAGTTTCACACAATATCCAACTGAATTACTATGCAAGAGTATCAATAAATAACGTGGAGCTGCGACAAGTGTGTACAAAAAATAAAAAAAAGTCTGACTAACTAATATAATGCGTTCAGTTATACTTGATCGATGTCCAAAATTACTTTGTATTAATACTAATTGTTTGTAAATTTGATGTTCTCATTAAATATAAAATATAGTTGTGAATGGAACATCGATAAAGCGTGTCTACGTAAAATTAAACCTTAGTCCTACTGTCCACGGATGCATCATATGCCGAACGAACGAATGATAGGCGGATTTTACGTATTTTTTCGTCCACGATGCTTTTCTACATTGTCTCAGTTTTCAATTGATAGATCATGGCTGCATCCTTTTGTTCCGAAAATGTTTCGTGATGACGATAAAGTAATATAGCGACGAATACATGACGCCTCTGTGTGGACACAATTTCGTTTATTTCTATGCAAAATGCAAGATTTACGCATTCGCCTTACAATCGTCAATTGACGAAAACGAACGCACTTAGTGCAGTTTCCGTGGACAACAAGCCTACAATGATTGTACTTTAATTCTAGCAAAATGCCACCTTTTAACTAACATTCAATCTCACTGATTTAGGATAATCGCTTACGCTCGCTACTAATACTAACGACTTATTATTACAACCGTTTTCTATTGTGTTAACCCGACAACTACAATGAGACCGGTATTTTTGCGAATTCATATAAAACTATTCATAGGGGTGTCTTAACCTTTAGTGCATAAGATGTAAAGCACGCAATCTTTAATTCAAAATTGTTTTAGTATTAGTAGTACCCGAGCTCCACATGCGCTAGAGACACCCCTAATTAGTCATACCTATGTATTATTAAAATAACTAAATGCACGTATACATACATATTCTCAAATAAAACTAATATTATAAGTTAAAAATGACAAAAGGAATATTTTATACATATCAGATACGTAAATATATAAAGATGTTGTAATGTGAAAAAGTGATAATCGAGCAGTTGGAGCAGATCAAAGGAGACATAAAACAAATGCCTTAATTCTTCGAGCAGCTTGATACAGAACAGGCAAGAACTTTATTATGCTTATTATATCACTAGCTGATCACAGAGTCGTCGGGTACGGTTACCATCAGCTCATTACAAAGGGCAACATTCAATAATGTATTATCAAATGAAAATCTCATTGAACTTAACAATAATTTAAATACTTAATTTTTAATACTCGATTACTTATTGCAATAAATTATGTCACTGGAACTAACAAATAATATAAAAAATACAGTGTAGCAAAAGCACTTGCTTGTTGCCTCTTAGATGAATAGACAAGAGCGTAGAAATTATTGAAACGGCATGAAACATTGTACCTACGTTTACCTATCACACTATACTACCACTAAAATAAAGCTGTCTTACAAATAATATGAGTCAACAATTCATAATACATCTCTTATAAACTATATGTTAACGTTTCAATGGAAAACGTTCCTCAAAAAATACTTATAGATCTACAATAACCTAGAGTATGTACCTAAGAAGAATCGTTGCATCGTTGAATGCGGGACGGTTCTGCGATGGCACTGCTACGAGAGTGGTTCAACGCTCCCGCCTGGTCATCTTCAGGGCGCTTGCGTTGTGTTACTCGCTAAGGTGTGGTTAGAGCCGGCTTCAATTCCGCCGGTGCCGAATGTAGCGATAATGCGCTCAAGCGAAGTCCAGGTGCCGACGACAAGACCCAGTGCTCCGAACAGCACGACGATTGCGTTTTTGACTATCATGCGGATGCGTTCGGACCGGGACACGTAGTACCAATATGTGCAGCTTTGGATCAAGGCAGGGAAGGCCAGACCGAGCGCTGATAAGCACAGAGCTCCGAATAGTGAGATGAACAGCTCCAGGGCCGGTACAGCTGCTGCGATACCAACTGCGGAGAAGATAACGTTTCAGTCTACCTTTGATAAAAACTAAAGGAGTACGCATAATGTAACACAAATCTTATTAATATACTCACAAGTCATGAGCACGATGGTTGTCCTAATGAAGTACTCCCAAAGGAATCTGTGTTTGCTGTTCAGAAGACGAATGCCAATGTATTCGTTCCATAGGATGTCAATCGCGACATAGCAGGCAAGCCCGTGGGTGATGAAGATTGCGAAGGCAAGAAGGCACTGGACTACGTTGGCAAGACTGGTAGGAGAAAATGTCGATTAAATTATTTGTTTTTAGGCACAAGTGGAAATAAGCGAGTTGTTTAAATTGATACTTACACTTCTTGACCTGAGGGCAAGTTGAGGGTGATACTGCCTTCGGACTCGTCTCCGTATTGCAGGTAGCCGAACAAGCCCATACCGACGTATAAGACGATGATGCTGATCATGGAGCAGTTCAGTACTCCGAATTTGCCTACGAAATCTCTTGGCGTCTTCATCTCATTCTCCAAGGGCAAAATCTGTAAAACAGATAATTTTATAGGTCAAGTTCATGAAATTAGCTGATATTTCGATTTCCCAAGTAATAACAGTTTACGAAAGAATGCTTACCACGCCAATGGCTTCCAGAGCAAACAGTACAGTTCCGAAGAACAGTGGGAAGTTAGCCAGTTTCCCTGCCGGAACTTTGCCTTCCAGGGTAGGAGTTTCCCTGAAGATGTAGTACAGGATGATACCGAAACTCACGATGGTCACGGCGTTTGCAATCGCAGAGAACGGAGCCAGATACTTCAGGTCCCGCACCCAGTTGATCAACACGAGTGGCAGTAGAATGCACAACATCACTTGTAGAACTGTTATTTCTATACCAAAGTGCTTCGTAAGTACGAAGTAAATGTTTTCAGACACAAACACTACATATACGCAGCATGTTCCTATTTGGTACACCAGTAGAAAAGCGTTCACCACGTGCCTGTGAAAGAAAAATATAATTATTCTTTTGACCTTCTTTTGCGGTAAAAGCGTTATTATGCAAATGTAAGTGCTTTATAGAATTTTTAATAAAAATACAATTGCAGGTTATGAATTCCTTATAGAAGGTACCTATACTATAACTTCTAGGTCTCATTTTGAGATCTCTAGTTCAATGTTAACTAGTTGACAATAAGTACATACTTATCATAGTCAATTATTTATTGTTTAACACATTGACATAAAAAATACATCGTAATTTTGAATTGTTCGTCGATTCGACGCCAATGTGTTCAAGTAATGTACTTCAAACATAAACATAATTAGCCAACTTCAAATTCAAAACAACTGCACAACATTGTTTAAAATGTATTTGTTATCTTTTTAAAGTGTTTACAGCATTACAGGTAGGTAACAATAGAAATTTTAATACGTAAGTCTTTACTTCTAGGTTGGAAATTTTCTTGTAGCATTAGAAGACTCATTAGTTCGTAGATTAAATAATTTCATAAAGTAATAATAACTCACGCAGCATAAGGGGCGCAGGCCTTGCACCAATCAGGTCCTTCCAGAAGCGCTGCTTCGGCGGCCGCAGTATACGACAGAGATGGCACTTTTCTTCTCTTGCACAGCACATAGCATGAGTCAATCAGGATATGTATGCAGTACGTGCATAGGACTCCGATGACCACAGTCCCGACAGAGCCTACTACGTAGCCAGCGTTGGAGAAAGCTTTGGGCATAGCCAAGATGCCTGTGCCCAGACTTCCCTTCATCAAGTGAAGAAACGTTTCCAAGTTCCTGTGGAAGATATTCGTATTGTTACTCTTTGTAGCGCGTTATTCTTGTAGTGTCATTTTTATTAAGCTTCGAGACTATTATGTCTATTTGCATCTTTATCAGTAGATTAGCTACTCTCCCACTGCTTAACTCCTTTTGATCGTAGCATGATGTTTTATAGCCCATAGCACTCAGAAATATTGTAGCTATCTATCATTGAAAGATGATTTTGGCAATCCGACCAGTGAGTGGTTCCAAAAATTACCCCTACATACAAACTTACAAATTTTACCTTTTTATAATTTATCAATAGATCAGTGGATATCACTGTATGTTCTTTGTTTTGTACCTTATAGTTGTCTAATAACAAATTTGCATGGTTCTACTTATAGTGATGTCACTAAACCAGGCGTGTTCGTTTTGGCATAATTACTAAAGCTCTTTATTCTCCATGCCAATAAAAACATAGCAGATAATACCAACCTAACTAAAACCACATGAGTAAATATTTCAAATTTTACTTCAGTAATTAGGCCACCTTGGAATAATAAACAAAATGTGCATTTATTTTGAGTTACCTGCTATTACTGGATTTAAATGTTCAACGACGCTTAAGCAAATTCAGCATCGTCATAAATAAAATATTATATTTAGTTCTTCACGTTCTTTACTTTCATAAGCATTTAACAAGACTCACACAAAATCTGCTTCTTGAGAATCACTTTTCTTGTCACAGATTACCAGGGATAAGATATATACATACTCGTATATATGTATGGACATAATGTCTTATTAGGTACTCCCGTGTTCTATAATACAGTAAACATATTATGTGACAACATATGAGTATCTCGTTTAATTTTTTAAATTGAATCCCAATACTGTTGGTACGTGCATAACTAAACAACGCTAAGGCCAATTTTTCATATTCTGTTATAAATTCTTGTGTTCTTGTATTAATATGAGAAGACTCCTGCGAGAGAAAATTTAAAAGCGTATAGGGGAAGTTGGTGGTTAACCATTTCGTTGATTCTGAGCTATTTGCACATGAGGTAGTTAAGCGAAACAAGGGCAGGCCGATAGTAAATAAATAAGTTTTCGGTCAATCGACTGACAAATGTATAATATTCTGCGCACGATGTGATAAACGGAAGAATTTCTGTTATGAGTTGCAAGGTTAAGGCTATTATAAACGTGATTTAAATCGCAATCACTTTTAATGTGCGAATCTATAAAAGTCATTTTGCATTAAAATGATGTTGATGTGAGCTGCAAATCAATGGTGTTCCTAGATGACTACGTGTAAATCCACATATCGTTGGCATGCCGATCTATGTTTTGATATCAATCTCTGTTCTACTTAAGTACAAACAGGACAATTGATAGAAATTAAATTATTCATCTTTTGTTGTAGTTTTCCGCAATACTCGTTTGTTTGAATATCAATATGAGGTGCAACGCAAGTTCTTTAAGCACTGCAGACTACCAACACTATTCCCCACGTGTGTTACACACGTGTTTGTATACATAATTTATTTAGATTTGATAAATAGCTTAAGTAAATTAGACGTATGTACCTACATTCAGATATATAAAGGAAAATAGGTACAATACCACTTCAATAATCATCTCTCATCTACCTGAGGTTGATTGGCAGGTGCAATTTGTCATGTCCATAATAAGTACATCGTCAACACGCCCATCTTTCATTGGGTTAGGTAGAGACAATTGAACACCAAATGACAAGATTCTGGCGTACTTGTTTCGCTTCTTCTATATACTTAATTCATGCATGTTCAATGTTTGTAGTATTAAGTAAACACAAGTTGAAAAAGGACCATGAGAAGCTACGGATGCTTCGATGAACTTACTGACAATGCATAATACAGTTGGGTCAGTAACGTTAGAAAAAATAGCAGAATGTATAATGTGTTAGTGTAACATAACATCTATCTACCTGTATATCTGCTTCATTGCAGTCATGTATGCCACAATCAATACTTATAAGGAAAAATCCTTGTTGCTATTCGTCACCGTGTTTTAAAAGGAAGGTGTAGAAGGAAATGTTCTTACGGAAGTTAATTTTGTATTTGTGATTAATGTAGTAACTTCATGTAGGATAACTTTGGAGAGGTGGACTTAAGTCTTAAGCCTTTTTGGTACTTGTGCGGCAAGCGCATTAAGGCTCCGCTACCCTGGCCTAGAGCGGGAGAAGTCACGTGGAAGTTTGAAGTCAGTAAGTAAAAGTCTAACACTTATATTCACCTCATCCTGAACGAGAGCAGTCATTTGATGATTTTCACCTCGCAAAAGGACGCAAGGACCTTTTTGATATTAACGAAAAGGACTTAAAAGTTTTAATGGAATATGGGGAAATTTATATGATAAGAATGTGATGCTGAAGAGACCTGATAGTGAGAGATCTGTGTCGCCCTAGTCACACCAGAAACTTTATTAGTGCGGTGCTTTATAAAAGAAGCTCTTTACTTGAGGATTTGGAGGTATGCACTATGAAGGTAGGAATTTGATACCATCATTTTGGACATAAGTAGTCCTGAGTCTGCCATAAATATTGTTGTGGAGTGGGTTTGTAGGTAATATTTTCTTATTTTATGGTGTTTGGAGGTAGAGTAGAGTGACCATTTGTGAATTTACTTAATTAAAATAGGCATATTATGTCTGTTTAGTCCTTTAAATAACTTTAGAATGACGTATCTAACTTCAAAGAAAGGTTAATGCAAAGAGTTGCTTCGTACGGGAATCGAAGCCGTGATACGTTAAACGGCAGCCGTTTGCCCAGCCACCGCGTCAACAGTACAGTCGGAATAAATACTTACTTCAATTAATTACACACGTAATGACTAGTAGATACAAAAAGAGGAAAAATACGTTGAGAACATATTGTCATAATTACAATTAATTTCTGTTCTTTATTACACTTTACTATAAAGATGAGTTATTTATAGTTTAAGGTACTTTTATTGTAAACAAGGTTGTACTCAGTGCTTGTTATGGCGTGTGAACGTAAATTCCATACTGTGCTACCTCTGAACCAATCCCCGATCTTGAAGGTAACGTACCACATTATACAATAATCTCAAAGTGCCTTCGTCCACCAATAGGCGGCTAACAATCAATAAATAAAGACCACTAAATTACCTTAAAGACTTGTAACTGCAAGACCACTAGCAACTTGTGCCCGCCCTCAAGAACAAATTACCCCTTCCTGCCCACCCTTAGGTCCTTTTCTACCGTATCCTTGCTGCTATTGAATTTATATAAGATAATAGTTTCTGCTAACGGCTAGGCCCGAGTTACCCGGAAGAAAAGTATCACATGCGTGATTCCAGACTATGCTACTAATCTAACTTTGTTCCAAATATCATCAACATTCATTCAGTAGTTTTGACGTATAGAGTAACAAACATACGTCAATCCATGTTATCCACAAACTTTCGCTTTTATAATGTTAGTAGGATTTATTTTTTCGTTTTACAGTTTGCCTTATTTTCAGGCAACCGATGCCTATATAGTGGTAGCCCTAAAGGCTAGCCTAAATATTCTACATTTTAAGATCATTACTTTACAAAACCAAGTAAAAATGTGGTACATCTACTCAACTTATCTAATAATTACATGAAAATATTTCGAAGGTATATCAGCATTTACTCACGTTGTAGGATGGTCCACGACTCTGTTGTCATAAGGCTCGTACTCCTCGACCTCAGGTATGTTCTTCTCCTTCATGTTGACGAGGAAGATGCTCTTGTCTCCAGGCCTTTTCTTCTCATCCTTCACCGGTGACAGGCTGCCGAGAAAATAGAAACATAGCTATAATACCGTCTTTTATCTATTGGTGCCGTCGGAATCTAATACTTAAAGTTTTAATTTCACGCACCTAATTCTAGTTTACAATACATTTAAAAAATAATAACAGTGACGTGTACAAAAGTTCGCATTCAGCTAAAATATTCAGTTGAAAACGTTAAACAAAAGTTTATTGTTGTCACTTACTTTTATCGCTCGCAAATAGCCACTATTTATAAACAAATACATCTTTAATTTACCTTGCATTTGAACAAAATTAAACTTTTGCAAATTGTGATATTAAGCTAAAGGTTACGTGCACGTACCCCTCCATCGCCTGACTATATTGATTTGCAGCAACACAGTTAACGTCCATGTACAACTGACGTACAAACCGCAATGATTACAACACCACCCCGTAAACAACTACAAGCACCCGCTTCAAAGGGTTGTCAACTAACCTACATTCAGAATGGAGGAGTTATGAAATAGAACAAAAATAAATCTGGATATCGATTAGTAAACTAATAGCCATAGGGCTTGTTAGTCGCCCATGCCATTATTTTAGGCTGTACGGCATTATGCAGTTACCAAACCGTCGGCGGCGCCATGTACTTACATGAATTATTCAAAAAAGAATTTATAATTACGCTTATAATTGTACTGTTCAGTATCGATTTCAGTTTCCTTTGTTGTATAGGTCGATGTAGATCACATTAATATTTACTTTACAAATCTAGCTCAGCTAGTTTTACCAAAACTAGTTCGTGGCTATTGTTTGTAAACAAAATCCCGTTTAGAAATTATTAATGATTCGGATATATAGGTGCAGTGTACTAAATCACTTTTTAATGCATTTTGATTGGTATAAAATGGTAATGTGCCATAGATTGAACAGAGGTCAATAAAATCAAAAGTTTTAGGTAAAAACGCCTCACTTCCAATTTGTGTATAAGGATGTAAAGTTTAGCGGTATTTTGTATTCGATATTTTTATGTTTTTGGATTTTGGAGAACGTATTCGCTGAATGTTTTGAGGTACCGGTTGTTGTAGTTTTCGAAACGTGTTTTAATTTTGAATTTAATGGCAGTGGTTGATGTGTCATGGTGGCCAGTGCACCACCAAAATGGGTACAAATGTCTTATATCATAGCTTATTGTTATTGTCACAATATGTAATTAAGGGTTGACGTCAATCGCCTGGACGATCTAGTTCTCATGTTGTTTTCTTTGCATGCCCATTTATTGCTCTATCAGGGCCAAGGTGTAAAGGTTCTGGGATGAATTGACCTCATCGTGTTTGCGATGCAACGTTTATTCATTTTAAATTATTTTTCCTTCAAACTGAATTGGCAACCGAGACTGCCGCTTTCGATTTATTGGTTCAACCTTTTGTTAAGTGTGTCTCAAATGTATCTTCAGAGATGTGCAGGTAAATTAATTTTTAAACTTGTTTTGATACTACTCATTGAGAATAATAGAACCTTTTATTACATTACATTTGGCTTGTTTAGCATAACTGAGCCAGCAAACGATGTTTTGCCATATTATAAATGGGTGGACAACCTTTATGACACTTTTTGCTTATAACTTTTTTTAATTATGGGACTATACATTATTTCTTTAAATAACCGGGAAAAGAGAAGACAGATCACCAGATAATAAACGATCAGTCACACCCATAATATCTGCAAAGTGATAAGTGCGTTGCCGGATTTTTAAAATGGATTACGCACTCTTTTTTTCTTGTAGACAGTTACATACAACAAAGCTAAATTCAAGCCATATACCAAGCACCTATATACTTCTCTACCCGAGTTTCGTCTCTAGGAAGGGTTCCATAGTCTATATAGCGTCGGTGATGGTGGATATGATGAATGTGGATGAAAATATTCACCTTTGTGGTAGGAAGTCGTCCGGCTCGAACGACGGGTTGATCATCGGTCCGCTTTGCCGCCGAGACCATTCTTCTGGCTCCTGAAATAATAACATGGATTTTAAAAATCACGCTCGCTATTATTGGTAAATAATGTGGCTATATCTGAGTTAAGAATGGTTAAGTAAGATAAAATATTTTAATTGCATAACCGATTGAAAAATAACATCTATCGAGTTTCTTGCTTGTTCTTTCTTATCCATAGGAATCTACACTTTGGAACGAGTAAATCGCTTCACTAGAGGACTGGCCGATGGACCAATTTTGTTTAGCTTTGATTAATTTATCAAACATTACAATAATTAATCATATTTTATGAGAAACGGCGATATCTACCTATGTGGTAACTTAAGTATTTATTATTTTAAAGTCAGGCAGCATAGAAATATGGATACATCTTTCTTATAAGTATGTTTCTCAGGCTAGATATTTATTTTTTATTAATATAGAAAACTCTACACTCATTCAGCTTCACGTATAAAATATTGTTTCAACATGTCTTTATCATGAGTCAATGGAAGACATTTATAATGTTTTATGTCGTAAAACTTGAATAAAATATTTGGTAAGCATAACCGAAGAACAGTTTGAAAACCACTATCTGAACATCCATGTCTCGGTAGTTTGTTTCCCCGAGACCACAATTTTTTGTGTGTTCCACAATTGTTTTGGGTCTGAGCGATATGTTTGGCACTTGTATATTTGTTGATGACCCGACGACACAGAAGAACATCCTATCTTGGAGGAACGTTTTTTTAAACAAGAAATGTTTAATTATTAGAAGTTAACAGTGTTATAACAATCCGTTTTAAAATACAAATCAGTACATCGCCACTATAATGAATTTAGATCAACCAAACTTGTGATATCTCGCGCTAAGATTGGCTTAGAATTTGTTTATTACATGGGGTGCGCCCACGCATACGGTCCGTCGAAGCATCACGGCCGGTGATCTATTTGCACGCTGGTGTATTTGGCACTCATCACGTGTATGTTTGTTACAATTTCATTACAAATGACATGTTGGTACCGTAAATAGTAATAGTTACGATTTCTGAAACGACGCTCGAGTTATGTTTCGCCGTGTGAGTAGGATTACCGAAGAAGCTCTCTTTACTCCAATCGCTAATCGTCAAATGCCTCACAATATACAAATGGTTGCTGCTGGCCTTGGCTACAAATGCGCTGCCGCTCTAATAGCGGCAGCGCATTTGTAGCTCTAATAGCGGCAGCGCATTTGTAGCTCTCATTGTACTCGTCAGGTGCGGGTGTACTCGTGTCTTGCTTACCATCAGGTGTGCCCTGTAAACGTTACCTGTCCCACGAAAACCTCAAGAACCATACCATTGTTATATGAAATGTATAATTATTAATAGTACACTAAATAAGTGACTAAATGAGACTGATATTACACTTGTTGGTATTAACAATTTTCTTTGAACACATATTTCCTTGTCCTAATTACCGTCAATCTTTTCCGTGATAGAAATTTTCCCCTTCCCACAATACAGATTTCATTGGAAATCATGAATTGATGACCTATTTAAAATACAAATTGTAATTTTCAGATTATTTTCATGAATCACGAGTACTATTCATTTCGAAGCAATGCGGTGATGACACAATTAATAAAATACATATAATGATAGCAGCAAGTTATTTTTGTTTATGGAATTATTTTAAATGCTACCTATTTGTTTACCTTTAATTCGTAAAGTTTGCGGTTAAACTTTATAATATTGTTTCATAAAATCATTGAGTGTGGGAATTTTAACATTATTGTTATAGCTATTTTTGTAATGTTATTGAGTTTTTTAGTTGTATTTTTGAATACTGGCTGGCGAGAAACATGTATTCCAAATTATTTTTCATCTCACCAACAGTTTCAAAATCTATTCAACTTTAAAGTTCTCAACTGGCTTATTGGTTAAGAATGATGTTGCATATTTTCATCACATTAGCTATTTATATAAAAATCGATTCCGAAATCATTTATGCGGTGCTAAGTGATAAAATACATATAAATATCAATCCAAACATTAAAATGAGTTACCGAGAAACGTTTTGCTGTAAAATCCGAACTACTAATTGACACGGAGCGATACAAAAACACCTTATGAGATTTCTTTGTAAAATTGATTTGTTTATGAGTAAGGTAAATATGTTTTTAAGTAGGTAACTATTTATTATTTATCTTTGTGTCGCCAGGTATTAGCGTAGCATGAATAGGTATACTGCCTCCGTAGCTATTATACTCTTAAGAATGACTTATAGTTTTTTTTTAACTTTAGAAAAAAGGTACCTATATAAAGTACTGGCTTAACGTAAGAAATCAATGGGAAATCGCCATGATGAACTGCGGCCTGACTCGAAGAAAAAGAATGAAGGGGCACATGGTATGCGACTATCACTCTCTCTCGCCTTACCGAGGACGCGGGAGAAGAAGAAAATCAATGATAGAAGCATCATACGTAGGTAATATGCGACCTCAACAATTATAGTTTAATATTAACAAGGTTTTGCTTCAAGGAACTATCGACAAAGGTTTTTTTTTTGAGGGGAAAATCATCAAATTACTTCTCCCGCCCAGGGCCGGGCGGGGCTCTTACTGACTAAAAACTCCCCTTTTCCTTCTCCTGCTCTGGGCCGAGGTCGCGGTGCCTCATTGTGCTTACCCCGCAACCCCGGCTAAGGTTTTCATACTTATCAAAAGTATAAAGACTTTTAAGTCCGTTACAAAGTGAACAAATGAATGCACACGGATTATTAGTTTCTGGCAATCTAATAAAGTATGATGGGAAGGCGACAAATTCGTCACCCCTATTTACAAACAAAAAAACATTGTCACATGTTGGCCGACACCCAGACGCTCAGTTCTTCTGAACAGTCGAGGAATGCGATGGGGTTGCCGGTGACGCAAGGAAATTGGATTGTACTAGAATAATTCAATATGCTCATTAGCTTACCTATATGTAAATATATTGAGAGATCTTACAGTAAAAAATGGCTTTGATATTGTATTGGTATTTGGTAAGCTGGTAACTCAACAACAGCAGAATTAATAGCCAATTCTTTTTCTGTTGTGTTTTGCAGTAAATGGGTTTAATAAGAATTTTATATAAGTGTAGGGAAAAACATAAATCTCACCAATACCAAAAGGATGAATGCTTTTATATTATAAGTATAGCAATAAGTCCTCAGATATGTATATAAATAAATAATCTTTAGTCGTTAATCGTGGTTGGGTATCCTTACGATCCAAGGGCGGACCACTAGTGTAATATCATAATTATGAGTAAGAACATTTTGTGAAATCTTTAACAGAATTTTAATACCACTCACGGCCCGGTCAAAATGCCCAATGAACTGCCGATGCATAATTTATTGAGATTGTTAAGGGCGAGCTGACTGCCATTTTTTCTATACAATATAAGTACCTGTTATTGAATTGTGTTTAACTAATGTTATATTGTATATTCAAATGAAAGCGAGATGGTCTTGCCTAGACCACTGAACACGGATTTCGATATAGTATATATCTATGTGAATAGGATCCGGTTTTAGGCTGTTGACTTGGTTGTCAGAATCAAGAATAAAACATTCGAGAAGCGCGCGCTTAAGGTGATTTCAATACGAACCTGCCTCAACGGTTAATTTCGTATGCAACTTATATATTATTTTTATTGTCACAGTGCCAGCAAACGAAACAAACGTTCCTTTAATCATAAAAATAATTTATATACAGTTGCCTACAAAAAGCAGTCTCCATGGTAATGTGTATAATAAATCTCATGTTATGTAATAATCGTAATTTGTCAATGTGTGCGCATATTATGTTGTAATTAAATGTTATTGAGACTTGAGTTATGCATTTACTGGGAACCGGCTGTAACTGCCTGCCGTGTATTATTTATATTGCAATCTCTGATTCCTTCTACATGACGTTAACATACTGATTGCTAGATTTGTCAATGTTAAATTAGGTATAGGTATTATATACTTACAAGGCTTATTGCAAAATTTATGTAAAGATTTAGATAATTTTTTTTTAAAGTTTTGTAATGTTAGGGCAGAGTTTGTATGAAATGAAAATTCGCCGAATTCGCCAGGAACATTACGAAATAGCACCCAGACTAAACTGGGGCAGGTCGCTAGTTTGTGATGAAAAAAACAATAAAACTTATTATGCATATTAAAAAATGTTTTCCGCTTTTCCCAATATATTGAGACAACAGAGCAATCTGTTAGAATTTGTAAGAAGTACATAGAATAAGCAGTTTCTCTAAGAACTTAATGGGAAAAAAGTGGAACGCTAGCGAGTTATTGTAATTTGGACACAATATAAAACCGCTAAGCAGCACACATTAAAAGCCAGGCAAATGGCAATGACACGAGGTGCCTTACAAGTAGCTGAGCTATCGTAGTTCCGACGCCAATGGCCGGAGCCCATAGATCACAATAGAGCAACGATTTTAAGTATCCGTTGTTATTCATGAACGAGCCCAGAGGTTAAGACGCCCGCTTTTCATGCTTGAGTGTGCCGGTTCGAAATCTGGCAAGTACCAATGTGACTTTTCCGAGTTATATGTAGTTTTTAAGTTATGTATGTTTGTGGTGTCTTAATGACAACTATAGGGATAATCGTAGGGATGATAATGAATGCTCAAACCTTCTCAGTGAGAGAAGAGACCTTTGCTCAGCAGTTGGCACTTATAGGATGATGTGATGTGTTATTCAAGTTTTCAAAAAGCATTACAAACTAAACTAATTAAAATTAAGTTTGATTTATTACATTTTTGGCATAATTCGCATCAAGCTTCAGTACCGTTGCATACAAGGATGACGACTTGTGGAATTGCTGTTATTCAGTCTGCGATATTTAATTAAATATATACTGTTATACACTGTGTCGAGCTGTGTGGTTGCAATTTCTTTGTCACTCGTTACTTTAAAAGTCTAGCTCTATAATGTACCTACAATGTAAAGATTTACGTCCTTCGTTGAAAAAAAACTTTAAAACTATATTTAAATAAGTATCACA